AAGAAACTTCGTTCCAACCGAGAGTTCCACGACACTAACGCATGTTTCATATATATTACTAGCTGGCCAGGCAGCATTTTTTACTATTTGCGAGGTATTCATGGCAACGTTGAACACCAATCACTGTCCAGATCACGTTCCTGTCACACGACGTCTCTATCACTGCCAGACATGATCATTATGTACGTCGGTGCTAAATTTTTGGCCAAAATCGTTGCATGACTCATTGCTTTAAAGTGCGACACATTTTTAACAATACTGGGTTCAGTAGGGACATTAATTTTTTTACAAATTTAAGGTGATAATCGAACTTTTTTAAACATGGTAGAGCCATGCTGCAGTTATATTAATTGTATAGTTGTAGCACGAATGGGTCGGCTCGACCGGGGAAGGACCACGCTCTCACAGAATACCAGCGTAAAATAGCAGCTTAACGCTGCTGTGTTTTGTATGTTGAGTGTAGAGAACCGGGGACTGCAGACCCTTTTTACTGCAAAAGAGGCATTTCATCTTAGTCCTCACAGCTGACAACGCATCTGCATTTTGATTCTCAAACGAAGATAGATGTAAATCAACGTTGTAGCCTTGCCCGCAATATACAGCACTACAGTACGTGTCCAGCGTCTATTTTAGATAATCTAGGTTTTGCTTTATTACATGGAACATGTTAACGGGGTCAGTATGAAAAGGTGCTCGTATATTATCGTTAGAATTGGGTGCTGATACATAGTCTATCGAGAAATTAAAGGCCCTGACTTCCGAATTTATAGCGTGGAAATCATTTTGTTGTTTTTAGTTTTTTTGTTTAAATTCGGTTTTGACATTTTATTAAAGTTTGATATTTTTGTACCTTTTTGAGTAGATTAAAGATACAAAGCAAAGGTCGGTACAACACCACAATTCAGTTAATTGTAGGTAATTGTTTGATTTTTAAATTACATTTGGAACATTTAACCGCATATCAATGGGGTCAGTTTAACAAATTAAGTCGATACACTGTTTATGTGAAAAGTTTGCAATTAATTATCCTAGATAGCGTTAGTTAGATTTATGTGCCACGGTAACCACTTACCATCAGGTGGACTGTGTGCCCTCTTGTCATCCTTATCTTATAAAAAAAACTCACCATCAGGTAATCTGATGGTAAGTGGCTACTGTAGTTCTTGGTCACTTGCAATCAACTCGACAGCGCAGAGGTGATAGCGCTATCGCCTCTGTGGACTAAGTTCACAGCCTGTAATTGTGGTAGCACTCCATATTGCTTAGATCGGAGTACATACTGCTATAGCCAGTAACCACCAGGTGGACTGTGAGGTCGTTTGTTACTTTAAATTTCATAATAGAACGGCGGGTGGTCTATGTGAACTATGTAATGTGTTCAATTTTGCTGTTCGCTTCGGTGAGCACATAACCCCTTACATGAGAAGTTAATTTAAAAAATAAAAGTTAACTATATACATCGCACTGCTGGGCACGGGCCTCCTCTCATTTTTGAGAGGGTTTTGGGGCAAAGAAATGTCCACCGCGCTGCCCCAGTGCATGTTGGCGAACTTGACATGTCTTCAAATTTTTTTTTCTTATTTTTTCAAACATGCAAGTTTTCTCACGATGTTTTCGCGGTTAATCGTGTCAAATGTAGCAGAAGCCTATGCCCAACTTTTCGTCCAGCCTAATCTAGTCCATTAATCTGTTCACGTCATGTCATGTTGGCCCATACTCACAACGGATAGCAGGTGGATTTGAAAATTTTTATGAGGATCCCTAATTATAACTAAGATTGCCGTGAACATAGGCGAGTGATTCTTATATCATGCAATAAAATGAAGAATTTAAAAAAACATTCATATTACAAGGATTTATTTATCTATCGTGTTCTAGGTTTAAATATATAAAACATTATGTATGAGGCACTTTCTTCTACTGATTACCTTAAGAGTTACAAGTCATTTAAATTTACCGCACGGGACGGGAATGAAATAAAACAAAGGGGAATGAAATAAAACGTTTATTCTTAACTAAAAACTAATCAACAATATTCATTAGGTGACAAATTTCACTTACCTATCTACCGTAAACATTTGGACTTTTTAAAATAATTCACAATTATTTAAATAATTAAGGTGGGTAATATTCATGAGAAAACTGTATTATAGGTACGTTATTTAACAAAAATACTCTCGTGTATTTTTCACGTTGATTCTAAGAACCGATATTGAAACTCTTAAAAAAACAATAAAATGTACGGCATCAAGAGCTTATAAAACACGATAGGTACGCCACACATTTTTTCAATTTATAATAGTTTGATTATGGATTTTAATAACCCACTTGACAAATTTATCAAAATTCTTGTTAGTTACATAAATTAATAATTATATCTAACAAATAACCAACGACGTAAAATTATTAATAATCTTCAACAAATCAACAAATATGAGCTACAAATATTTGGTTAAGCAATCAAATTATAAAAATACTTATTATTATGTATAATAATTAAGGTAAGGTAAGACACTGCGACGATGAAGGTTGGGGTTCATTTTGAGAAACGACAGTGGAATCAATTAATGATTCAAAATATTTCGCAATGTCACACGATGAAATATTATAAGTGCTAGAATTCCTAATTTCAAGTTGTTTATCATCAGCAAAATGCCGTTTCCTAGAAACCCTCAGATTGTTAACATTTAGACTAATGTCTGAAAGAACCGTAACCTTCTTGGATTCCGCTATAACCTTTTTCACAACAGGTGGATGAGATTCTTTTTGCTCCGGGTCTTGAATCAAGTTTATAAAGCCTAAATGTTTTCCATGTAAACATGGACTTGGTATACACATACACGAGAAGCAACTTAAGCAGCCATGACAGGTGTTTTAGTCTCCCATAAAACCTGATGTATACGTAACGTACCTTCAAAAGAAGGAACGGTGGCAGGCAATAACGCTTCTATATTCATAATATCAACTTTGTCAACAACTTCAATTTGAATGTTACTCAAAATTTTCGAAATGTCTCAAAGCTATTAGAAAGTCTACAAAATTACCAAGGTCACGACCGTAACTAACAACACGATCCATTCTAGTTTTTAAAGCACCGCCTACCCCATCTGGTGCACCTTTACCGTGGCCAGCCTCACTATAGTTCCATGTAACAAATTCAAGTCCATAAAAATCTACATGTAATTTAGAAATCACGCAAAAAGTAAATTTATTGCGGTACTGACTAGTTGGACCGTCAGGCATAAAATGAATAGTGTTAACGTGAGGATTGTTATTTTTGATGTAATGTAGTAAGAATTTTAAGTGTGCCCAAATAGCAGAAGTAGTATGAATATAAATATAAATAGCAAAATGATCGGGGAATTATCACCCTAAAATGGATCACAAATGTATACTATCGGTGTATGTAGGCTAACATGTTGTCGACTACCAACAAAGTGAAGTGACTGGACCTCTTCAGCGTATTTGAGAGTGTAATTCTCACTTCAGTCACAATGAATAATAGCCTCGGTCATTTTTAGATTTGATTTGACTTCATTTAAAGATTTGTATTGAGCAAGAATATTTTGAACATATGAAAGAAATTTCTCAATTTACTCTTCTACTTTCGATATAACTGCTCTAGCAGACTCTACAGATTTCATTTTAGACAATAATGACTTGGGGTTTTCTTTCTTAGTAACCCATTGGTAGTAGTCTACTCTTGTTGAATCATTAAACGCTAAATACTTAACACTCTTGTTCTTGCAAGACCTAGACTCTAGAATACGCTTGAGGAATACCTCAAGCGTATTCTAGAGTAATCATCCTAAAAATTTTTAAAAATGTCAGTTAATGTACAAATACCTTTTTGCTTTTCTTACACCAGACTTCTTAATATACTGATTTTTGCCAGGTGCTAAATAACTAATTATATCTATCTCAAAAAATCTCACAACTATATTTTAAAGCTTTTCTTTATAAGAGACATCTTGTTTCTTCTTGCTGATTTCCTTATTATCTTTATTGTCTTTATTTTTATTTTCTTCTAAAGATTTTATAAGATTTCTGTATTTTAAATTTTGTTTCTAAAATAATATAGTTTGCCTCAATATTTTATTTTCTTTATTCATTTAGTATCGCAGTTTTCTAATTTTGGTTTTACATAAACAGTTGCTTGATGTGCTCTGCATAAGTTAAAGTAGAGGGAATGAAATTTAGGCGAATGAGAATTTCACATAAAAACTCAAAATGAGCAATAAAATTGTTCGAATTATGAGAGAAAAAGTAGCGCCTTAATAGTTTCTTATTGCCATTTACATAATAAAAAAGTCATATTGTGTAGATTAAATATACTTACCGAGATCTGAAGTACTTTAAGAATGAAAATTACTTGGACAAACTCCGTACAAAGAACAATCCGGCATTATATCGTATAGACAAAAAACATGCGTTCTTCTTCGGTGGCTTGCGGCAAATGTTTGAAGAAGCCCTGAACATTCGATGTGAGTAACGATTGCGGTGCGCGGAGGGCTGCTGAATTAAAGTCGGGTTCATAATTTGTTGGGGTAATGAACAAAATGGAATTACAATTTTTCTCTTTGGATTCTTAGGCCTTTAAAGAGTTAATGAAATAACAAAGTTATCGATATGTTATTCAGTCCTTATCAATAATGTCAAAGGAAATTAAGTTGATGTAATTTTTAGAACAAAAGCATATAAGTCATGAAGAACAATGTATAACTACCAAGAAAAATCCTAGGATAATGAAAAAAAATGTCCATTTTTCCTTAAAAAAAATTAATAACAAAATATACACACAAATGTCATACCTGCCATTTTAAAACGAAAAATTAGGAATAATATAGTATTTTTGTTTATTTAATATATGTTCATTTTATGATAATTGAATGGATAAATCAGTTTTATTGCGTGATATAAGAATCAGCCAGGCACGTGTAAATAGTAGATGCAGTTGTAGAGGGTTGAATAACATATTGATCGATGTTCCAATAATATACATTGACCAATTAATTTTGATTCAACGAGGTCTTTAATTTATCGCGTTCGGGAAATGTCACCATGAAGTTTCACTTGGTCTATAGAAATAAGTGAGTGTTTTTTTTTTAATTATAGAGTGCCAGTAACGTTTCTATTTTTGTTGGTTTTGTTTTCTTTTTGTGTTCTAAATTGTCATTGAAAATATGTAAGTATATTTGTAAGAAGTTTTGGAGGGGATATTGGACCTTCTGATTGTACTGGATTGCAGCTCCTGTATAATCTTTATATGAAAGTTTGAAGTAGAATTTGATAAGTATGAAAAGTGCGAATTTGTGTATTAAATTGCTGCGCTATGAACCATTTAGTGAAAACTATGAAACAAGTGCTCCAATGCAATGGTGATATGACATCAATTTATTATGTCTGCTTAGGCGCCTTGAGATAGTACCGTCACCGGCTGTCAAGGGTCAAGTTGCCGTCAAAATTCCCCAAAAACTTCGCTATGTGACTCATAAATATATTGTGTAGAAATTTTAAACAAATTATTATAAATGATAATTTCATAACACTTGACATGGGCAAAAGTACAACCGTTTACCACAAAAAAAAAAAAAGTGTTCGAGGTTCGAACGACTTATTCGAACAATAGCGCGGCTTACTGGGTCGTAAGAGACGACACATGAAAACTGGAACAGGATACTGATAGTACCATTTTTTTTAATAAAAACTTAAAAATAATTAAAAATCTGATGCTGCCAATCCACCTGCCGAGCGTGGTACAGTGGCCAATATCACCTTATAGATGATATTAACTCCTGGGAAGGAGGTGATTGCTACCAAGCCATTTCTAATTTGTTGTGTTGTTAATTGTGTAACATAATATTATTGAAAACTGTTATATTTTAAAAAACATTCCCGCTGGGTTTGTTGCTGGTTCTTCATATAACAGCAGTGTTAAATTAAATATAAAAGTGACCTTCAATAAGTATTATTTATAATTTAAATTGAATAAATAAGTATCTGTGTCTGTTATGGATTCAATTTATGAAGGAGGCACTACGTTCAACTGCAAATTTGTGATAGGTTTTTTTTATAGGATAGGGTAACAAACGAGCACACAGTCCACCTGATGGTAAGTGGTTGCTGTGGCCCATAGACATCTACATCTATCCACGTTTGCGAATCAAAATACAGATGCGTTGTCACCCGTGAGTTTTTTCATTAAGCTGCCATTTTGCACTGGTGTTCTGTGAGAGCGTGGTCCTTCCCTGGTCGAGCCGAGCGATAGCTGCAGCATGGCTCCACCACTGTTGTTAATTGCGTAACATAATAGTATTGTAAACTGTAATAATTAAAAAAAAAGTCCCGCCGGGTTTCTTGCTGGTTCTTCCCATTACAGCAGTGTAAAATTAAACGTGTGTGACTTGCAATAACTATTATTATACGTGGTGGAGCCATGCTGCAGCTATATTAATAGTATAGTTGTAGCACGAATGGGACGGCTCGATCGGGGAAGGAGCACGCTCTCACAGAATACCACCGTAAAATAGCAGCTTAACGCTGCTGTGTTTCGTATGGTGAGTGTAGTGAACCGGAGACCTATTGTACTGGAAAAGAGACATTCTATCTTAGTCCTCACGGGTGACAACGCATCTGCATTTTGATTCTTTACTGAGGATATATGTAGATGTCTATGGGCCACAGCAACCACTTACCATCAGGTGAACTGTGTGCTCGTTTGGCACCCTTATACTATAAAAAAAATCTATATTGAATAAATAAGTATCTGCTTCTGTTACGGGGTCAATTTATGGGGGAGGCCTACGTTCAACTGTAAACTTTTGATAGGTTGGAATGATAATGATATAGATTTCATCCCTCGACTACCTCGTTGATCTAGTGGTTATAGTAATGCAATTGGTGACCATGAGGTCTCGGCTTCGAATCCCAGGTCGGACCAAAAAGTCAGTTATTGAGTTATTCCATCAAGAAATTCTCAGTAGCTGCCCGGAGTTAGAGAGTTAACGGTGACTCATCCCCGTGCCTGGTAAAGCAAGTAAAGCCGTTGGTCCTCCGCGTGATCTCTCTCCGGTCGTGTCGGCTTACCGTCCCGTCGGACTACGAGAGTGACAACGCGCGTACACCTAATCCGTCAACGGCCGAAGTTTGCTCGGGCGATGACGGCCGAACTCGCACGATCTAATCAAACACTTGTAAAAGGAACAGAGTGCGTACATAAACACGACCGTCATCGTCCGATGACGCACGAAATCGACCGATCAACAGTTGAGTCTGAACTTGTTGGGATTTCTCGCCAGATTGCCGGAGTATACAGTGCAAATTGAGTGTATTTATAATTTAGTTTAATCATTTTGTCTTTGTTCTGTTGTATTTATCAGTGTTGTTTTCTACCTAAACGACTATGGATTTTGAAGAATTAATTAGTTGTGTTTATAATAGACAATTACAATAATCGAGAGGTTTCGAAACGGTTATGGGCTGAAGTTGGATCGGATATGGATATAGCGGTTCCAGATATTTAAAAAAATGCGTCTTCACTCTGTTAGGCAACACAGTCAACTACAGAATACCGGCAGTGCAAGCACATACACGTCCGAGTTACTCGTCCGGGTAGTTCTGTCCGTCATCGGCCGACAAAATCTGTTTTGGTGTACACGTACCCAGGGGCAATAGAGAGTACACTTATGCTTGCGCTACACTCGGGCACTATAATCCTGCCCTGCGCCGATGGCTAGTCTCCGTTGAGGCTGGCCGCCGTGATTGAAATTCGGACTGGAGGACGTTATTATTGATTTCGTCCCATGAGTGTCGTAAGAGACGACCAGAAAAATCTTATGGCTTCTGATAGATGGCGGTGTACCGTCTCGTTAACGCCAGGCGTTAACAGACCAGACCAGAAACGGAAGGTGCCTCAAAGGTGCTCACATCTGGTACTTTGATCGTATCGCCTGCCAAGTGTGACATTAAGGCACATCCTCCGTACTATGGAGAGACCATGACCTGGGTTTAGACTAAGTGACTGATGAATAATAATTTAAAATTAAAAATTTTGTACAGCCGACTTCAATATAAATTATTAAGAATAACTCAAAAACTATTGGTCTGACCTTTATCAAATTCATATGGGACCACATGTGAAGTACAAGCTTTCAAATAATAAAAGCATCATCGAAATCGGTTCACCCAGTAAAAAGTTATGAGGTAACACACATAAAAACATACAGTCGAATTGAGTACCGTATCCATTTTGAAGTCGGCAGAAAAGAAGGTATAGTTTATTTATTCTATATATAAGTAAAATGTATATATTAGATAGACAGATGACACTTTATTGTATGCAAAAAAAAACATAAATATGTTCATATTAAACGGAGAGAAAGAAATGTGGTACAATGCGCGGTCTTTTCGCTAAGAGCAATCACTTACAGACAACCTTTGGATAGACAGGGTTGCAAGAAAACAATAAAAACATGTGTGTGGTTTGCCGACAAAAAGAATATTATTTTAACTATAAATCATAAAATAGTAATAAATATCGATAATATAGAATGATATGTAAGTACATAGATAAGATAATACATTATGTAGATAATTATCATTTTTATTTTGTTTTCTACCGAATTCAAAAAGGAGACGGCTCCTAATTCGACTGTATGTTTTTTTATTTGTGTTAACTCATAACTTTTTACTGGGTGAACCGATTTCAATGATTCTTTTCGTGTGGTCATATATAAATTAGATCAAGGTTTGACCAATAGTTTTTGAGTTATTCTTAATAATTTATATTGAAGTCGTTTATACAGAATTTTTAATTTTAAATTATTAATCTACGAATATATGGCTATACCTACGTCAAATTCTCACCACTTCATGGGTACCAGTCAGGTAGAGAATGCCTTAAGGCATCTTTGTATTCTTTTATTTTAAGGTATGCGATAAAGAATAAATAAATAAATAACTAGATAATAGGTAAGGTTCTTTTTAACCAACTTGAACAAAGGAGGAGGTTCTGAATTCTACTATATTTTTTATGTATGTTACCTCAGAACTTTTTTCTAGGTGAACCGATTTTCATGATTCTTTTTTATTTGAAAGCTAGTCCTTCTCCTGTAGTCCCATATAAATTTGATCAAGATCTGACCGGTAGCTTTTGAGTTGTCCTTATTAATGCGTATTTAATTGACTTCGACTACATTGATGATGTTCTCATTTTATTTATATTGAAGTCGATTATACAGAATTTTTAACTTTACCACTTGTTGCAAAAAAATCGTTTCTAATTTGACGGTTTTGTGGTGCCAGCATAATATCTTCGCAAATTTGGCACTTGACACAAGCCACTCACACCTTCCTGTTTGGGATCGACTGAGTATTCGTAGATAATTATTTTGGCTCTCGATTGAACTTATAACAGTTGCGTACATAATCTATGTAACGTGGTACCTACAAGACAGTAGTAAATAATAATAAAATCGTAACAGTTTAATCAAAAATCGATATTATATCCTGATAATTTTGAAAATGAGCCGCGAGAATATAAGTGACGTGTCGTTACTCGCTATAGTGATTTCAAGAGCGTATCGATATAATTATGATGTAATATGAAATTTTAATTTTTTATTTATTTAATTTTTTTACCTCGTTTAGAGCCGAGGCGGCATCAGAGGCAGCTGAACTGAAACTGAATAATGAGTCTTTGAGAGATGACTACATATTTGTGCCATTTGCTGTAGAGACTATCGGTCCGTGGGGTCCACGTGAGGTGAAGTTCTTAAAGGAACTCCATCCGCGGCTGGTCGTTGCTGCTGGTGATAACAGGGCTGGTTCTTTTCTCGCGCAATGGCTAAATATAGCCATTCAACGGGGAAACGCAGCCAGCGTTCTTGGCACGATACCGCGGGGAGTAGGACTATATGATAATTAAGTTTCTAGTTTTATTTTTTTTAATATTGTATATAATTTTATGTAAATAATTTTTTTTATAAAACTGAAAATGACAAACGAACTTAGCCTACCTGATCGTAAGTGTCTATTGCAGTCCATGAATATCTGTTGTCAACTTTATACAAAAAAGGCTGAATAATACGTTGTGACTTATGACTCCTGGAAATTAACCATGCCTCGCCGCCTTTAATAGTATAGTTGTAGCACGAATGGGTCGGCTCGACCGGGGAAGGACCATGCTCTCACAGAATACCTGCTGTGTTTCATATGGTGAGTGTAGAGAACCGGAGCCCCTTTTTACTGGAAAAGAGGCATTACATCTTAGTCCTCACGGCTGACAAAGCATCTGCGTTTTAATTCGCAAACGAAGATGTCCATGGGCCACAGCAACCACTTATCATCAGGTGAACTGTGTGCTCGTTTGTCACCCTTATTACAATAAGGGTAACTCCGTAAGAAATAATTTAAAATTAAAAAGTTTGTAAAACCGACTTGAATATAAATTATTACGAATAACTCAAAAACTGTTAGTCATACCTTGATCAAATTTACATGGGACCATATGTGAAGCACCAGCTTTCAAGTTAAAAAAGAATCATCAAAATCGGTTCACCCAGTAAAAGGTTATGAGTTTACACACATTAAAAACAATGTGGAGTCGATTCGAAAAAACAATAAAATAAGAAATAAGTTAGAAAATCGATTATAGTATATTCTTTATGGCAATAAATCGCTTACCATAAACAATACACTAGTGATATTCTCGTTTCTGAACGTTACCTTCCAATAGAGGACTTCTCATTTTGAAACTTGACAGTTCAAACTTCAAACTATTTACTTAAAAGAAAACGGCAAATTTTTTATTCGATTTGAAACGAGCGTAATATAATCGATTCTCAATTATATTGAGTATTTTAATATCGATTTTCTATTATTTTACTGTGTTAGCTAGGGAAATAAAAAAATTGGGTACATATCTACAAAATAATACTACAAAATAGTACTATACGCGCGCCACCTACAATATGTTAATAGTACTATGCATATAACCTTCGCAGAAGTGCAAGCAATAAGTTGACAAAGTTTTAGCGCAATCTAATGAACGGTATGACAAGCGCATGAAATACGAACAAACAAATATTAATTTTCTGCCGATTTCAAAAAGGAGACGGTACTCAATTCGACTGTATATTTTTTTATGATCATCAATGATTCTTTTTTATTTGAAAGCTAGTACTTTACATGTGGTCCCATATGAATTTGATCAAGGTCTGACCAACAGTTTTTGTGTTATTCTTAATAATATATAATGAAGTCGCTTGTACAAAATTTTTAATTTTAAATTATCATATAGTTAGATTTTACGGATTCTTATTACGTTTAATTTAAACTTTTTAATTCCCGACGTTCTGGGTGCTTTGCACCCATGGTTACTAACTTGCGGGACTGAAGTGTTTGACGTTCTGATGTCATATTTAGCCCGGCTACCTTTAGTTCTTGGATATTCATTTTTGGTCCGATCTACTCATAAATTGAAATTTTGTTTCCGATCTGCACAGGCATTGAAATTTAATTGAAGATATTGAAAATATATTTTATAATGGCTCGGTATTAGCTTTTGGTTGTGGCGCTGCGGAGCCGCGGTTTCGAGACACTACTACCCAAACTGGTGTTACCGTTACACCCTATTAAAAGTCCATTGCTTACAAAGAAGACAGGCCTCCCTATAGATTGCCTCATAGGATGGTTTTCTTTTATTTTTATAGTCATTAAATCTGTTTGTTGGATGTTTAATAATGGCGGGAAAACTGAACCATTTTAGCGAAATTCGAACGACTCTAGTAATTTAAATAATAAATTTATGCAAAAAAATGTAAGTGCGTAGGACTAGGATCGTATGCCGTTATATTTAGCAATTACATTACTGCAAACCACTAATAACTATATTTATTAACACGCCAGTACAAGTTAGACAAGAGTACAAAAAAGTATATCATTGCATTGAAAATATTGCTTATATAGCTAAAAATAATTATTAATAATTAAAATCACAGTGTTTGTCTTACACTACATTCCGATTGGTCGTATTCACAACGAACAATGCATTGATCTCCGACCACGCCGACATCGTTGAGAACAATAACTACACAGGCGGCCATTGAACTCTGCTAGCGCTGCGACCAATGGGAATGCATGCACCCTAATGAGCGGGCGTTGCTAATCGGCGACGTAGGACATCATCCGATGTATGACGTAGTGGTGACGTGATCTTTAGGTCCGTTCTAGCTACTAACTTACTCGCCACAATAAAAACCTATGAATATTGCACTGGTAGATATAGATTGTATTGTAAAAAATGTTTGCTCCAATGTCATTATCCATAGAAAAATATAGGAATTAGTTTATATGGACTAAACGGCGCTCGAATATCCTATAAACATGTTTCCACATGTACTTTCTAAGAGGAGGAACAGGTAAAAATAATGAATCAAGTCTACAAGCGAATAGAACCAACCGTAGCCAGAAATTAATAAATTAAAATGATGGTAAAAGTTAATAGCTGTCTGGTTAATTTCAGGATAGAGGTATTATAGCGCCTTTTAGAATATATCTAGCGTAGATCAGAATCCCCTATAAATTGCCTCATAAGGGCCACTCGACAGTCTCACATCAGTCATAGTCACGCTTGGCAAGCAATTTGGAAACCGCAATTTTTTATTATTTTAAGCTGTCATCAGGAAGATGCTGCTGCCCATCTCCTCTTTCAGTTCCCGTCTGTCGTCTTTTATGACACCCACGGGACGAGATTCGGCAGTGGATATTCTTACACCGCCACTACACTAAGCGCTCTCTGTAAATTTCATATATTACATATTTAAATAAAAAATTGTTTTATTAATTTAAATAAAATATGTTTGCTTTTTACAGTGAGCGCAACAATCCGGTTCTAGGCAACAGAGAGCCGATAATCGAATCTATAGACCAAGAAATTTCAGACCAGACATCGCAGCCCACTGAGGTATATTTAGGAGCACCTCGCTTCCTCGAAACTACGAATTTAACCGAACGAGAAACCCATAAGTCTTCAACATCTCCCTGTGCAATACAGTTCCAACCCTGTTCAATTAAACTTTACTATGAATATTTGCACGGGAACATATCCACCTTACCCAATTCTTATCATAATTCATTTGAAGACTATACCATTACTAACGCAAACTCAGAGTCCAGATTTAAATTACCAATATCTGAACAGTATGATCCGGAAGGTAAAATATTTGATGGAAGGCAAACGGAAGAAAGAATCATTAAGAAAATAATGGAAATGAAAATTAAAAGAAATTTAGTAGAAAACAAGAAAAAAAGTAAGAACAATGAGTCACAATTAAAAATCAAAACTGAGACAATTTCTTTTAACTCAGAAAGTAATAAGTACGAGAGCAAAGATTTTAGTAAAGTATTTATTAACACAGACAGCATCAAATCAACCGCAAATAGTATAGTCAATGAAAGTATAGACAAAGCTATAACAGTTGCCCAAGAAATATTTAAAGAGATCGACACTGAGTCTATCGAACACTGTACTCCGCCATCACAATTATTTTTTTTACAAGACAATATTTTGAGTAACAAACTATTAGGAGAGGAAGCAGATATCTTGCCTAAGTCTGTTAAGGAATCCGTACAACTTTACGAAAGAATTGGCAAAGATTCTCGAATGGATAATCTACAAAAAGAAAATAAATTGGAAGATGAAAGGAAGTTGTATTTAATTCAGGAAATTGAAGAAAGTATTGAAGTTGGCTCGGTCAGAAGAAAATCTGTTATATTCGAAAATGAAGCGGAGAAGCTCTTTCGACCTCATCAAACAGAAGATTATTCTAATGATGAAACAGTTTATAAGGATAACTGTCATTTACAAAATAAAACGATCAATATTCAAGCCAAAACAGAGCTTGAAGACAAAATGAAATCAACGAGAATATTAGCACAAACAAAAGCATTCAAAGTCGGTTCGCAAATGATCCTACACATTATTAAGATTACAGAATCATCAAATGTCTATAGCTCTTTATTAAAAATATTATATTTTTATTTCTTAAATTTAATAATAGCTTTTTATAGGTTTATTCTCATGCAACCATCATTAAAGTCGAATAATTATTTAAAAAACCACACATATTATGCAAAAAATCTGAATTTGGGAGACCGTAAGCGCAATGAAACGGAATTAAATATTCTGGATCAACACTTTGATGAGAAACATTTGACTTCAGCTTATAGGGATAATGACGAGGCTTTAATTTTAAGAAAAAAGAAGTTATCAGGTTCTGAAATGGCTCAAATGTCGTTAAGAAAGCCAGAAGAACTAACTCAAATAATGGATGCTGTAATATCAGAATTTCATACAAAGCTAAATATTGGAGGTTCTCAGTATACTGTGCGACTTTGTAATAAAATGTCAGAAAATAGCAGTAATATCGAGGAAGTAGAGATTAAAGAATCCGATACCCTCGAATGGCTTACAAAAATGGATAGTGAAGAAAAGGAACGAATAAGAAAAGAGATTAAGCTTGCAACTATAGAGGCTGCAAGAAGAGTATCGGAAAGTCGTAAAACATTTGAACAATATGCAAAGTCTCATCATGATTCCCAGAAATATAAATCTGATTCCACGGATAGTTTGACATATATCGCCATAGTAGAGTCGCACGTATATACTAATACAAATTTAATATTTGATAAATACTTTTCAAGTTCAAACGTAGAAACCACTCAGAATTCGGAATTCACAAGTTCCAATAACGTAGGATCAGCTACCTCAGAATATTTTAAGGAAAAGACTTATAATTTATCATCCAATACAAAAGACGATTTTAGAGGCGAAGAAAATGATTTGGCTCTTGCAGCAGAAAAGTCAAAAAGTATGGATATAAAATCCTCAATGGTCTTACCAGATACTGAAGAAATGAAAGGCTATATAATAAGGACTGATTACGTAGCTACTGTTAATGTTGAACACAAGTCTTTGCCAATAGTTTCAGACGAAAAGGAATATGAAAGTATTATGTCAGAAATTCATCAATCCATAGATGAAGGAATTGAAGTACAAGCTGTTGCAAAAACAGCTACTATACAAATAGCCTCTACCTCGGAAAATTCTGAAACAAAAGAAAGTCATAACAGTTTGATTAAACAGGAGGCTCATGAACGGACCTTAGAATTGCATGAAGAAAAATCAACTGGAACCATTGAATCAAGAGATATGAATAAGAACGTTCTTCAAACGAAAGAATCTCTAGAGATGAGTGAATTACAAGCATCCAAAATTATGTGTCAAAGCACTGCAACACAAATTAATACACAAATAGAAACGACTTCGGAGAACAAAAGTGAATACATAAATGTAAAGGAAAATGTAGCTGTTCCAGTTATAGAAGTTAAAGAACTTAATAAAGTTCAAGCGTTGAATAGAGCAACCGCTAGACAAATAAGTGCAATTTTTGAAGATATACAAAATAGTCGAATTACCAATGTCACAGAAGAGGTGCCATGTTTTAGTCTAGGAACAGAAGAGCTAAGCATAGCACAAGCTCTTTGTAAAGAAACTGTAATTCATGTACCTACTTGTAGTGGAACTGAACAATTAGATGAAACTACAATGTCAGTTTATTTTGAAGAAAATGATTATTTTTCAATTAACAAATCTGATGAAGAAGTAGCTATCATATGTTTTCAAGCACAAGAGCTTTTAAGGGTTAACCCAGTTTGTACGCCCGTAGCTTTGCAAATTACCATATACTTTGATGAAGTGGAATCTATCAAATTAGATAGATTTGAAATAGAGAAAGCCAGCATCTCTGAAGAAGTTAGAGAATTTTTTAAGACTTACTGTATAGTTTATGCAACGACTCAAGACATAAGAACATACACAGAAGAAAACCTTTCATTTAAAACAGATGATACCAAATATGTATTGGCTTCTATAAATTATGAACCGCAAGTTTTAGTTACAGTCAGTTCAGTTGCTACTCCACTTATAACGCAACTAAGCATTAACTACATCGATGCAGAATTCATGAAAAGCGAACGTTTTCAGGAAGAGAACGCAAAATGTAGTGTAGAAACCAGAGAATCACCATCAGTACTTTCAATGTGTTATGCTGCCGGAAATTTATTAAAATTTGATGCAGAAGAAAGTTATGACTTTGAAGTGGATGAGGTTAAAAAGGAATTTAGTTCTATATGTATTGAACCACAAGTATTATTGAAAGCTTTTCCAATGGGTGCGTCTTTAATAAGACAAACTAGTACAATATTTAATGAAGCTCAATGTATAGAGAGTGAAATAATACAAGAAAAGAAAGCAGACTCGTGCATCGTGAAAGAAATATTTATGACGGCAAGATGTACATGCACTGCCACCGTTCAAACAATTATTACTAATTTAATAGAAATTAATTCATATGAAGTTGAACAAACTAAAGAAGAACAAGCTTTTGGTGGTATAGAACCAAATATATTTGAAATAGCGCTATCAGTAGGTACAGCAACAGCAATGCAAATAAATGTTATTTACGTCGAAGCTGCTTTTAAAGAACCTGATACATTTGAGGAAGAAGTTGCCTTATCTAGTTTAGAAAGCAAAGAATTTGTAAGAACATACCCAATGTGCCAAGCTGTCGCGGCACAAATGACAACAATTTTTGAAGAAACTGAAACTATGTCGCTTAATTATGATGTAACGGAAGAATTTGCAAAAATAGTTGATGTCCCTTATTATCTTATCTCTACATTGTCCATTAGTTTAGCATCCGCAAACCAAATCATATTCGATTCTGAAATGATGAAAAATTTTGAATGTTCTGATGTAAGAGAAGAGCAAATTGCAATTTCTATCCAAGAACACGAGCTAAAAAAAGCTGTTGCTGTTCTAATAGCTCTAGCGAATAATGAATACACTGATTTATATTCAGTACAAGATGATAGTTCAATTAATTTTTACTGTGACAAACAATTAGCTCTCATATCGGAACCAACTTTTTTAAATTTCGCATTGTCTTTTAATAATGCTACTGTTCAACAAGCAAGTTTCACGTATGAGGATTATGAAACACAAGTAATTGAATATCCTGTTAAATATGAACACGTGAAAATGACGAAAGAGACCAAAAGTTTGACTATTGCGGAAACTATGAACAAAGCTGTTGTAATAAATAATGATGGTATCAATTTATTTTCTGTAACAAATAAAGACGACATTCTTAAGCAATCTGCAGCAGCGCATTTACAATCTTCCAGCTACAGTGAATTATCAACAGACGAAATTTTAAGCAATGATGTTATTAAAAAAACAAATGTTGAGTTAAATGCAGCAGAAAGAGCAATTGTTTCTGAAAACCAAAGAATTATAGAAAAAGAAAAAGATGATAACAAAGAAGCATTTAGTGAAAAAGAGTCAAATTTAAATGTTTCAGTTATACAAAAAGTTGAAACAGAAGCGTCTCAAAAATATCAGCAACTGTCTTGTGAACTTTCTTTGTCTAAGAATGTCAGAGAATCTGCTTCTGAAAGAGTCAAAGGGGTTATACTCATGGCTGGAACTGAAGATATTAAATCTAATGATTTCCGAACAGATTTATTACAAACTACTATGCATAAATTGGAAAATGGTACTGGCATTGTGATACAAGATATAACTCAAATAGGCGACAGTTTTGATGAGTCTGTTGAAATACAATTAAACAAGGATATATCAACATCTGAGTTACAAGAAAAATTAGATAAACTTGAGGCACAAACAACAAAGATCTACGATATATCTGAGGAATTACAAGACGTGACATCTACCAAAAATTTGTCTGCGCTTAGAAAAGCTAAAACGGCTACAGACGAATCAGAGGCACTAAAAATTATAAAAAAAGAAGAACGTGAACTAGTGTACCCTGTATTGGAAAGGTATGAGGAGGAAGATTTAACTTGCAGTAAACTAATAAATACAGCAGCATTCTCCGATTCGGTTTCTAAAGTTGTAAATCAGACAAAAAATAGTCTGTCTCTGACTTCAGGACGAAACCGTAACGATCATAGTTTTGCTTTAAAGGAAACTGGTGAACAATTGTTACTAGCAAATACATTGAAATCCCATGCACTCAGAAGTTCCAGTGAATCAGAATCCACTGTACATGGATTAAAAAACATAGAGCTAAACGTATCAGAGTCTCTTATAAATCAATCATCGAATGGAGACAACGTGTATAATAAATCACTCAAAAAAAGTTCCGTTTCACAAGCAACTTCAGAATCATCGATATTATCATATTCCAATTCTCAAAAGTTAACAAAATCGGCTAAAAGTAGCAAATTGGTTCTTAAAACAGACTTAAACCAAGAAAAATTTGCAGAAACTCAAAATTGCGTCAAAAATGTTGTACACTTTACCGATATTCAATCTCCCACGACGCCTCCTACACCATTAACAGATGAATACATTTTTAGACTTGTAGTTCCACTACCTAAAAGCAGAGGAACTACTCCTGTTCCAAGAGATCCAAGCCCTGAAATTTTTGAATGCGTACATGTGAAAGGTTCACATAAAGAAACGATAAATCTAATATCAAAAGTAGAAACTGAAATAAGTGAAGGAGTTTCGTATAACCCGTCTTTGTCAAATCTGCCTACAAGCCCTCCCGCCTCTTCAGTATACACTAAGCCAGGCTTAAATGGTGGCTCAAAACGACTACCACGATATATCAAGCTAGGGCTAAGAGGCGGATCAGACAGACCACCAATAACAAAGGTATGATGAACAAAGTTAATTACTAGCCACCTACTGTTTATTTTTAATACGTATCATTTCTACATTTATCAACAAAGTGGCTGCTATATTATTTTTAATCTGTTAAAGATTACACTTTCTTCAACAGATCAGCATAAAATTAAGGGGGGAATCTTTAAATGTAAGTGAACGATATAGTTCATAGACATCTTTGTCTATCTTCGATTAAGGATTAGAAATGTAGATTTGTTGTCATCCCTTATATACTGAGATGGAATAGACATTCTAGACGGTTAAAAGTAAAAGGTCTTCAATTCTTGTCACCCACTATATGAAACGAAGCATCATTAACTGTTTTGCGCTGGTGTTTGTGCGAGCATGGACCTTTGCCAGTTTTCCCGATGGATCTATGCTACAGCCATAACACACTGTATCATAACTCTAACGCGTACAGCTTAATCTGAATAAGCGGGGCAAACAAAGCGATAAAACCATGGCGACCCGTGCCACGCTATCTGTGGACTTTTGCAACATCAGGGGACTTCACTTGAACCTTAACTAACTGGAGACTGAGAAGCCGGCCTTGCTCTTTTTGACCGAGGCGCAGGTATCCTTTCCGGCTGATAATTCGTACCTGTCCTACCCGGGGTACAAATTAGAACACTTCTATATGCCCAGGGCTGGAGTTTGCGTATATGTCAGAGAGGATACCTATTCTCGACGCCTCGGCAGTCTTGAAGGTACGGCTTGTCCATCTTTTGATAGCGACGACCATGCCCGCGTCTACGGGTGCCTCTATAGGTCCCATAGCGGTAATGCCGACAGAGACCGACTCATTGACCACGTCCAAATGGCTACAGATTTCTTGATACAACAGATTATATCCGTATAGATAATGATACACCTGTAAGACCGCATTACGCAATAAGCAGGAGTGTTACCAGGCCTGGGTTGTCGCTTCAGCGGCTCTGCATATCAATGGTATATTGCAAACCGGTAACATTCATTGCTGTGCGGATGACAGCACTGGTAATGCTCTATACACCGGCCGTGCCAATATTTCTCGGGAAAACGTCGCCGAGTACCGGAACAAACTTGTATCTGAAATCGAGTCTTTGCTGAACAAAGTCTCGGATTGGGAGCGACTAAATCTAATCCAGTTTAATCCTCAGAAGACACAAGTTTGCGCGCTTACCGTTAAAAATAACCCCTTTGTCGTATCTCCTCAGTTTCAAGGCACTCCCCTTGTTGCCTCAGCCAGTATCGAAATCATCGGCGTCGACACATCGAGTAATGTGCAGTTTCGTGTTCACTTGGAAGAGAAGGCCAAATTGGCCCCTAAAAAGCTTGGCGTGTTCAGCAGAGCGAGACAGTATTTGATGCCGGCACACCGCTTGCAACTTTACAAAGCGCAGGTTCGGCCTCACATGGATTACTGTTGCCATCTCTAGGCTGGGGCTCCCCAGTGCCTACTTGACTTCCACTTGACCGCATCCAACGTAGAGCGGCTCGAATCATCAACGACCGAGTCCTTTCGATCGATTCGCTGATGCTGCGAAGAGATGTTGCATCCCTTTGCATTTTCTTTCGCATCTACCACGGGGAGTGTTCTGACGAATTGTTCAGATTAATCCCAGCCGCCAAATATCACGAACGCACATCGCGATTAAATTCCCGATACCATCCACACCACCTGGATGCTTGGCGGTTCACCGCCACTATGAGTTTTCTTCCGCATATGACCTCTCTGTGGAATAGCTTACCACAGGCGATTTTTCCGGACCGATACGACTTAGGGATCTTCAATAATTTAAAATTAAAAATTTTGTACAGCCGACTTCAATATAAGTTATTTAAGAATAACTTAAAAACTATTGGTCTGACCTTGATCAAATTCATATGGGACCACACGAGAAGTACCAGCTTTCAAATAAAAAAAGAATCATCGAAATCGGTTCACCCAGAAAAAAGTTCTGAGGTAACACACATAAAAAAAAAAAAACGAAAAAAAAAAACATACAGTCGAATTGAGTACCGGCTCCTTTTTGGAAGTCGGCAGAAAAAAGAACTTACGCCTTTCTAAAAGGCCGGCCACGCACCTGTTATTCCCCTGGTGTTGCAGTTGTTCATGGCCGACGGTAGTCACTTACCATCAGGTGAGCCGTATGCTCGTTTACCCCCACTTCTATATAAAAAAAACTTATTCCACCAGTCTTCTTGGTTCGTTCTAGGAATCGAACTTAGATTGTTCACCTAGTATGAAAATTTTGGGTTTATTTAATGCTACTACGACTTCATTACCCTATGACATATGGCAGGAGACCAATACCTATATAAATATAGATAAATAGCCATTAGAAGTGTTATGTCACGCTTATTCCTAAAGATATATCTGTCGCCACATCAGTCGTACCATGTGATATTTAAAAACTTAGCAAAATCATAAATTCTCATTACATTGCAACGTTCTGACTATAACGTACCAGATATCGGAGAATTTTTTAGTAATGGTGGTTGTGAAATGCGGATCTAACGAATAAACTTTGATTCAATGTCGATATTTGGAGTCTAAATGAAAAAATATCGCTTGCTAGTAAGTCATAAGTCGATACAAGGTCACTTTCATTGCCGTCGTGTGACTTCTATTGCCTATTTGTTTAGATTTCTGTGTCATTGTTCTAGAGTGGGAATTTTATTGTACTGTGGACCCCCGGCAATACGACAAACATTTTGCAGGGCAGTGTCGGACTATCGACTTTGTCGGATTATATAACTATGCCTAAGACCCCCCCTATAGTCCGAAATTTTTTATAAAAGAGTACCTTGTAATCCGACAAATTCCAGATCCAATGATAAGATTCTATATGTACTCTGAAGTACAAATTAAATTTCATTATGTATGTTTTAAATTTAGGAAATTAAACAACACAATAGGAAGCTTACATTTTATTATAATATTAACGTTATTAATGCTATAGAACTTACAAAAAATATGCAATAACTTTACATTAGGAAGTAATTGTGTACAAACAAATGTACATACTAAAATAATCAAAAATTATGAATCAAGTTATAACTTGTTCAAACATGCATTTGCGAAAATTGCCTAAAAAATCTAATAATAAATAATAGATCATGTCGGATTACAGGGGGTGCCGGATTAGACAGTGGCCGGATTACCGGGGGTCCACTGTATTACTTTACTGCAAAAGTTTGTCAACAAACAATAAACAATATATTATGTACGATTGGCAACTTTGTGAATGTATGAAATGTAGTTTTTGGTAAGAGTAAATTCTTAGCAACGGTATACTGTCACAGGTATTTTCAGTCCAATAATTTAATTATTTCCTATATATATTCTCTGCATTCTCTCATATTCTTATTATTAACAAACTTTGTATAAATGTCCACTACCACTACCCTATATCGTCCCGTAGATGTCGTAAGACGCGATAGTGAGAAATAAACTAGGCGATGGACAGTAGCGTCTTCCTTATAACAACCGAGCAGTAAAAAACTTCATTTGCCAACCCGAATGAAAAGCGTGGCAACTATGGCAAATATATAAGGACATCTATGGAAGAGGCCTATACAGCGGAGTATTTTTGATGGACTGTAACAATATTGTTGGTCTAAAATGATTAAAATAATTAATATTATACCACGATTTTAAACGAACTTAATCTTCTAATAGGAAGACATATTGGAGGTGCAAAGAAAATCGTCAATTCTCACTTCAGCCATTACCGAAACACTTAAAAGTATTGAAGAATATAAAAGAGAGTTTGGCATTTTAAAAAAGCAAGGCACAGAAGAACAACGCCTGCCTAATACTAGAATAGAATCAGAAGGAACTATGAGCAATATAAATAAAGGTGAAATGGAAACATTTGTGAGGGATACAAATATACATCAAAATAAAAGCAATGCAGATATACGTGATCTTGCTATTGAAAAGGAAGAGATAGAAAGAGACAATTTAATTATAGAAACTGACAAAACGATAGCTGTTTCTGTAGAATTATTCAAGAGTGAAACAGAGGTTAAAGATAGTGACAAAAAGCATGATAACTATGCAAAAAAGGGTGAAGACATCATTTTGGAAGACGGTTACAGTTACATGCAAATAGTAGAAGAAAACCAAATTGAAACTAATATGATAAGTAAAAATGAAACCAATAACGAAATCAAAACTATAAATAGCGCTGCTGATTTGGCTCAGTCCGATTTTGATATGACAGACGAATGTAATTCTTCAAAAGAATTTGTTGTTGCTGAAGGTATAATTGAATACCCCACTGAAGTAACTTCTCTAAAGGTTGTATCTAATAATGAAGCCCACAACAAAGAAGACAAAGAGATTATAAAAGAAAATATAAATGAAAATAGCGTAGGTTTTATAAACGTTAAAATTGATACAGATCATTCGATGTTTGATGCAAAAGTAAGTTTTAATTTAAGGTCATGTGTACCATTTTATAGTTTATTAAGTTTGGTAGGCTGCTTCGTTATGATAATTTATGACGGGCTGCTAGTTAAAATTTAAAATTGACGGTAACAAATTTACGCCTCTTACACGTAAGTTCCAGTCTGCTTGCTATAACAGAACTTCTTACTATTAAAACAGTTATAGAAAATTAAAATAGTGTTACGTTATTTTGTACACGTGTTGTTTTTTTTTTTACACGTGCCCTAATTTAGTTTCGTAAAGATAAAGACAGGGTCAAATGCTGTGCCTATAACTAGCAATTGATTTATGAGGTAGAGCCATGCCGCGGCTATTCCGAAATTTCTTACGGATATTCTATCTTAGTCCGCAGAGGTTTACAACGCATTCACATTTTGATTCCCAATCACGGAAATGGATGTGTAAGGTATATGTAAATGTAACATGACGTGGATTGTGTGATGGTTTGTCACATTTATTTTATATCAAAAAAAATATTGCTACGTGCTTATAAAGTAACAGCTAATAAACATCTAACTGCTGGGTATCAGTTTTCTCTCATTATAAAACGGTTTTAGAGCAGGAAATAGTTTCGCGCTGCCTCAATACCTGTTGGTGGATTCCAGAGAATTAGTTCAAATATAAGATTTACTGGTTAATTACGACAATATAACGCTTAGCAATCAGCACTTAAAGTTAAGATTGGGATAGTTAACTAAGTTTAAAAAGAAAACATAAATATGATTATTAAATAAGCTACACAAATGAGGTATTATTTTTTATAGAAAATGGAGCAAAGTGAAGATGAGGTTTATAAAACGCCTGATGAGAAACCTATGACTATCCAAGAGTATATTCTTAATGAGATACAATCAGATGATATCGCAGCTGATCAGGAAGTTGCTGGTAAATTCCATTATTTTATAATGATCCTAAATATTCATAATGTTTCCCAAAAAACGGAAAAGATATTTTTTTCGCATTTTAACTTAAAATACTTTAGTCGTTGTCCCTGCACCGAAGTGTGTATGTGTTGTTTTTTTTTTTATTAATAAATAAGTAAAGGCCAAATACTTAAAATGGTACTCAATTTTAAAATTTCGTTAAATCTCGTGGTGTCACAGTCACTTTGACTTAAAGTGATAGAGACAGCACTAGAGTTAACGGCATCATTAAAATTAAGCAGCGTTTGAGTATTCGGGCATATGAATGAAAAACTAGCGCACACTCCACCTTTTGCTTATCTTTGACTTATTTACCGTGGGTGACGTAAGAGGCTACAGAGGCAAACAAACCAGGAGATGGGCAACAACATCTTCGTAATAATAAATAAAAAAAAATACTGCGGTTGCCAACTCGCTGGCCAAGCGTAGGAACTAAGGTAAATATCTCCCCTATGACGCAATCTAAGACTCTAAGTCCCGCATTAATAAACGTTACTCAACGACGAACTTAAGTGCATAATCATTTTGATACACCTTTTGGTGAGTGTAGAGAACCGGAGACCCTTTTTTTACTGGAAACTAGACATTCCATCTTAGTCCTCACTTGTGACAACGCATCTGCATTTTGATTCGCAAACGAGGATAAATGTACATGTCTATGGGTCACAGCAACCACTTACCATCAGGTGGACTGTATGCTCGTTTGTCACCCTATCCTATAAAAAAACCCTTATTACGATATCAGCATCTCAAGATCGTTGCTAATTAATAAACACATAAAAACAGTATCTCAAAACGCTGTACTTTGGAATACTGTTCTGTGAATTGCACTCAAGCACTTGAGAGTCGAGTTTCGTTTATTAATCAGTGTGGCACTCAGCTGATATCGTAAACCTAAACCGCATCTTGAAATATGTTTATTAATAAGATCATAACCTCAAAATTGTACTCAAGTGCGTGAACTTGAGCGGAGTAACGTTTATTAATACGGGCCTAAGACTTTTGTTAAATGTATGAGAAATAAAAACGAGATATTATCGCCGTGTTTCACTATCACTATAGCCCTTCGCAAGTCCACTGCTGAACATAGTCCTCTCACATAGATTGCCACAAAGTTCAGTCCCGAACCAAATGCATCCATCGACTCTTCGTGTTTTATCGAGACCTCCATCTAATGGAGGTCGCCTATCACTTCGCTTGCCATTATAAGGGTGTCATTCGAGAACCTTTCTTTCCCATCGGTTGTCGGTTCTTCAAGCAATATTGGCGGCCCATTGCCACTTCAGCTTACTTATCCGCTGCGTTATGTCAGTTAGTCTTGTTCGTCTGTGGATATCCTCGTTACGGATTTTTACCGTTGACTAGTTCTGAGCATGCTAGAGCTTCCTTGGTTCGTAGAGAACCCTTTGTTTTCTTTTCCGAGTCCTTTTACAGTATCTCTTTTAAAAAAAATTCCAATTCAACTATTTCTGAACGGTTTAAATTTTTTTCATGTTAAATCATCTTTAGTTGTTGAATAAATTTGGTGAATTCGCTTGTAATATAATGTCCTCCAAATTTCGGTGACGGCGGCCAGTCTCAACGGAGACTAGCCATCTGCGCAGGACAGGATCATAGTGCCCAAGTGTATGCGCAAGCTCAGGTGCACTATCTCTTCCTTCACTATCAAGTTTATAATATAAACTGTTTTCAAATGTATATTGTATATAAGAAAACGGATCGTTACTAAGAACGAAACATTTCTTGAATATAGACGGCTCGGTGGTGTAGTGGCTTAGCGATGACTTCCAACGCTGAAGGCCGCTGGTTCGAATCCTGCACGGAACAAGTATTTACATGGCCTACATATAATTGTTCCGGGTTTGGATGTTTGCCCTTGTGCAGTTTATGTATGTAAACTGCCACCACGATACAGGAGAAAATCTTAGTGTGGTGGTAACGTTTTAAAAAAAGATGATGAAAAAGAAGAAAGTGAAGACCAACAAGAAGAGATCGGATGAAATGCTTTTTGTAACGAAGTTCCTTATCGCACGGTACGAATTTGACGGATAGGGGCTAAGCGAGAAAAGTGTAAGATTTTTCCGTCACGACCCCCTTTCTATATTGGGAGCGAGATGGAATAATATCCATCTCCCTCGCACTTTTTCTTATCTTGCCATGAAAGAAATATTAAGAACTAGCCTTTGATTTGGGCCAAAATCGATTAAATAGCATTATAATGGCAGTGGTATGGTGGTAGTCTTGTGATATTCGCAGGAATATTTTGTAATAGGTTTGTAAACCACTCTTTTTTACCGACTTCAAAAAAGAGATGGTACTCAATTCGACTGTATGTTCTTTTTTTCTTTTGGAACGAAGTTCCTTATCGGACGGTACCTATTTGGCGGATGGGGGCTAGCTGAGAAAAAGTGTAAGATTATTCGTCACGACCCCTTCTGACGTAGTGTAAACCGCTTTGTTTTATCTTGTCGTGAAAGAAATATTATTTTATTATAAATGACGCTTCATTTTAATAGACACTAGTATTTAATTTATTGGTATTTGTTAATCAATAATATAATACGTTTATCAATAATAATACACTACGAAAAGGACTTCGTTCCAACCAAGTTTTGCCACGACACTCACGCATGTTTTTTACCATCAAAATAGACATCCGTATTTCATCATTCACCATACGAAACACACATCTAAATGATCCTCATTCTGTTCCTGTTCATCTCAAAAATATTAATCACTAACAAGATGATTCTAGACGCTTGGTTCAACAGCATCGTTCATTTCAATTATTTTGGTCTTATAAAATCCCACCTGTAAACTCAAAAGATCGTTGTAAGAACTATGTACTCAATAGTAATTCTTGTAAATCTTACAAATACAGATGTTACAGAGAAGACTATAGATACTGACAGAAGTATATCTGTAGAGACAAGTCCTGCGATAGCACCAAAGGAAAATCTGCTTAAGGAGGAACACGTGATTAGGTAAGTGAAACGTATCGCTGACTTTATTGACGCTATATCTATACATTGAAATAAAACTGAAGTAACTGTCTGTAATGTGAAAATAACTGCCTTATAATGGAGCTGAGACGTTTACTGCCATCTCAAATATTTTTAAAGTTTTTGTCTTTCTGTCAGTCCGGCCTAATCTTCGGAATGGCCTGAACCGATAGTAACGAAACTTGACGTACAGAAAGAAATCAATTACAAAAGGGATCCAGGCTATATTTTATTAACTTAGAGATTTTTTATAGAAAAGAAAAACAAAGTATTGATAAAATAAATGGTGTTTGATTATCTTATTTTTTTTTATTTATTTATCAGATCAAAAGAAAAGAATACAAATATAGGTCTAATTAACATCTAAAAACCACAGAGGTTTGACTTGGTGCTAAATAATTAAGTTTAAGTCAGCATTAATATGCTGACTTTATTAACATTAATATACTTACTTAGACTGTGTCTTGCACATAATTGTGCAAGACACAGTCTAAGTAAGTAGTTAGGTATGTGAGTAGGTAGTAGTTATAGTAAGAATATAAAGACTAAGAGAAAGTAATAACACACAATAATAACTAGTTAAGAAATCATGAAGTAACTAATAAACATTATTAATACATGTGTGTGTATGTATGCGTGTGTGTGTGTGTGTCTGTGTGTTCGTGTGTGTGTGTGTGTGTGTGTGTGTGTGTGCGTGCGTGCGTGCGTGGGTGCATGCGTGCGTGCGTGCGTGAGTGCGTGCGTGCGTGCTTGCGTGGGTGCGTGAGTGCGTGCGTGCGTGCGTGTGAGTGTGCGTGCATACGTGCGTGCGTGGGTGCGTGCGTGCATGCGTGCGTGGGTGCGTGCGTGAATGCGTGGGTGCGAAGGTGCGTGCGTGCGTGCGTGTGCGGGTGCGTACATGCGTGCGTGCGTGGGTGCGTGCGTGCGTGCGTGCGTGGGTGCGTGCGTGCGTGCGTGCGTGGGTGCGTGAGTGCGTGCGTGCGTGCGTGTGAGGGTGCGTGCATAAGTGCGTGCGTGGGTGCGTGCGTGCATGCGTGCGTGGGTGTGTGCGTGAATGCGTGGGTGCGAAGGTGCATGCGTGCGTGCGTGTGCGGGTGCGTACATGCGTGCGTGCGTGGGTGCGTGCGTGCGTGCGTGCGTGAGAGCGTGCGTGCGTGCGGTCGTGGGTGCGTGCGTGAATGCGTGGGTGCGTGCGTGCGTGCGTGCGTGCGTGCGTGCGTGCGTGAGTGCGTGGGTGCGTGCGTGCGTGCGTGCGTGGGTGCGTGAGTGCGTGCTTGCGTGCGTGCGTGTGCGGGTGCGAGCGTGCGTGCGTGCGTGCGTACGTGCGTGCGTGCGTGGGTGCGTGCGTGCGTGCATGCGTGCGTGCGTGCGTTCGTGAGTGCGTGTGTGCGTGCATGTTTGCGTGCGTGCGTGCGTGCGTGCGTGCGTGCGTGCATGCGTGCGTGCGTGCGTGAGTGCGTGCGTGGGTGCGTGCGTGAGTGCGTACGTGCGTGCGTGCGTGCGTACGTGCGTGCGTGCGTGTGTGTGTGTGTGTGTGTGTGTGTGTGTGTGTGTAAGATTGGAGGTAGGAGTGTATGTGCTAGTGTGTGTGGTTTCAATGAGTTATGTCAACAATTAGAGGTGGATATCTAGGCAGTGCCAAATAGACAAGGCACCACAAACCTGGCTTGGCTGTCCTTCAGCAACTGCGACCTTGGGTTCAGAGATGTCTTTAATTTTTTTTAATTTCACAGAGTTGTAGTTACCTCGCGATATTTTTTTTCACCACCAAGCACGTGGTAGATCAGCTGTTAAAATTGCAATTGTCAGCTCTTTTGCGGCAGCAGCCAGTCTCAACAGAGACCACATATACAAAAGTACAGGCGCACTTTATATTCCCTCACACTCATAGTCCGATGTGACGTCAACCCGACCCGATTGGGGAGAGATAGGAGAAGATCAACGGCTTTGAGTGCTTTCGCTGCATGGAATATACAACTATCTGACTAGTTTCCGAGGAACGAGGGTCTAACAACGCTAACTTCTAAACTACATGTTGATACTGAGAGTTCCTTTATAGAAAAACTCAATAGCTTTTGGTCCAACTCGTGAAGTAAACCACGCGACCAGAAGTCTACTAAGAAGTCTACTACAAAAGTCACACTAGTAATACAAACTTATTTCTCTTTTCCAAATAAAATTATACAGCCTCACTAGAGTTCTCTCAGCGCACATGCTCCGAGAAGAGTTAAGCCCAGACTGTTACAAAACGAAGACCAGCCACGAATCTCAGCAGGAATTAGCCAACAATGAACATATTGAAAAGGAGCAGGAAACAATCAAAGAAGAGAAGAACGAAATAAAATGGACGACATTCCTGCAGAAATCACATCCGGTTCCGGTTCAAACATTAGGACACTTCACTGATTTGCAAAACAAATTCGAAATTCAAGTAAGTGATTAGTTTTGTAATGAGTTTTGGCGGGAATGTTGTATCGCTACCATGCTATTTCTAATTTGTTTTGTTGCTAATAATTGTGTAACATTTATGATTGTAAACTGTTCTTTTTTTAAAGTCCCGCTGGGTTTCTTTTTGTTTCTACCCAGGAGAAAGGTATTTTCCGAACTAGTGGTAAAAAACATGCGTGAGTGTCGTGAAACACTAGGTTGGAACGAAGTTCCTTTCGTAATATATTATTATTGATAAGCGTATTATATTATTGATTAACAAATACAAATAAATGAATTACTAGCGTCTATAAAATGAAGCGTCATTTAAAATAAAATACACTATGACACAAGGGGTAGTGACGAAAAAATCTTACACTTTTTGTCGCCTAGCTCCCATCCGTCAAATTCGTACCGTGCGATAAGGAACTTCGTTCCAATTAAACATAAGAGTGTCTTTCAATAAGTATTAAGTATTATTTATAATCTATATTGAATTGAATTCTATTTCAATAATAGTTTAAAGTAGATTTTGATACGTATAAGTGATGCAATTTTGTGTATTAAATTTATACTCCTGTGAAATAAAAGTGAAGACGATGGAACAGGTGCTCAGATGGTGATGTGAATCTCAAGATAACGTGTCTGCTACGGCGCCTTGAGATACAATCGTCATCGACTGTCTGCCGGCTCAAGCTGCCGTCAAAATCTCTCAAAAACTCCACAATGTGACGAATCAATATATTGTGAAGAAATTTTTAAACAAATTATTTATAAAGGATTTTTTTACGTGGTAGAGCCATGCTGAAGCTATATTGATAGTATAGTTGTAGTACGAATGGGTCGGCTCGACCGGGGAAGGACCACGCTCTCACAGAATACCAACGTAAAATAGCAGCTTGACACTGCTGTGTTTCGTATGGTGAGTGTAGAGAACCGGTGACCCTTTTTACTAGAAAAGAGGCATTCCATGTTAGTCCTCACGGGTGACAACGCATCTGCATATTTATTCTTTATTGAGGATAGATGTAGATGTCTATGGGTTACAGCAACCACTTACTATCAGGTGGACTGTGTGCTCGTTTGTTACCCTATCTTTAAAAAAAACCAGTAAGAAACCCAGTGGGGTTTTTTAAAAGCACACTTTACAATATAAACAGCATGGTAGCGATCACCTCATTCCCAGGGGTTATTATCAGTCATGTACTCTTTAGTAGTATAATAACCCTTACTAGACAAATGCTTAATAAATATTTTAAACCTTTTGATATATTTTGATCTGCATATTTTCTGGGACTTTGTTGTAAAAGCGTGTACGAGGCAATGTACACGCTTTTACAACAAAGTCCCAATGAAGGAGTTACTGACTCTTTGGAGTCGAGTAGACTGGTATAACTAACTTGTGCTTGTTCCTAGTATTTACAGAATGTACATCACTATTTTTAATAAAACTATTTTTTTGTTTTTGTGTAGGTACATACATTAAAGTTTCGTAGTCATCATCAGCATTACCTACAGCCCATCACAAGTCCACTGTTGAACATAGGCCTCCCCCAAGGAATGCCACAAAGCACGGTCCTGAGCCACCTGCATCCATCGACTTCCTGCATGTCTTACCAGGTCGTCACTCCATCTAGAGGGGCTGAAGCTGCCTTTCGAAAACTTTTTCTACGTGGTAGAGCCATGCTGCAGCTATATTATGGTTGTAGCACGAATGGGTCGGATCGACCAGGGAAGAACCACGCTCTCACAGAAAACCAGTGTAAAATAGCAGCTTGACGCTGCTGTGTTTCGTATGGTGAGTGTAGAGAACCGGACACCCTTTTTACTGGCAAAGAGGCATTCCATCTTAGTCCTCACGGGTGACAACGCATCTGCATCTTGAGTCTTTATTGAGGATAGATGTTGATGTCTATGGGTCACAGTAACCACTTACCATTAGGTGGACTGTGTGCTCGTTTGTCACCCGATCCTATAAAAAAAAAGAGAACCTTTCTTCCCCATCGGTTGTCGGTTCTTCGAGCTATATGGCCGGCCCACTGCCACTTCAGCTTACTAATCCGTTGGGCTATGTCCGTCACTCTGGTTCTACTGCTACTGTTTATCACGCAGAGAAACCCCGAGCATAGCCCTCTCCATAGCTCACTGAGTGACCTTGAGCTTACTCATACGACCAGCAGTGAAGGACCACATCTCAGTTCCAATTGTTTTATTTTGCCAGAACTTCAATAGCAGTCCGTTGCCTTGGCAAGAGAGAGCACTGGCAGATTCTCTAGGTGCACGAGGAAGGGACTTACAAATTGAGGAGCCTATTTTAATTCCTGAAGAGGAGCCAGAGTACCTCATAGCAGTACCCTCAGGATTTTGTAGTACAAGTGATCCGGAAGATGCAGGTAACAACTACAATACCTTTGTGTATACCCGCTTACATTTACCGCGCAAAAAGAGAAATTACGAGTGAATTAAGTTTCTTTTTTTTTATATAAAAACGTTACCTCTCCACTGTCTTACTCTAGGATTTTCTCCTGTATGGTGGAGGCAGTTTACAAACATAAATCGCACATGTACAAACATCCAGACCCGGAACAATTACTTTTACTTCATACAAATACTTGTTCGGTGCGGGATTCGAGCACTCGTCTCTCAGCGCACCTACTCAAGTTAAGCCACCGCTACGGAGCTGTCTAAATGACCTATGTAGTACAAAATAAATACAAAAAAGAGAATAGCCAACTAAAAAAATAAAGATGTAGTGACAAAAATTGAGAAAGGTATGCTGAGATAGTTTGGCCATGTCGAGAGAATGAATGAAGAACGATTGACGAAAAAAGTGTATAAGGCGAGTGTGAATGAAAGTGTTGGAAGGGGTAGACCTAGGCGGACATTTCTAGACCAAATCAGGGACGTCTTGAAAAAAGGCCAGGTCAAGAGTACCCTAAACCGTAGAGCATGTATGAAGGGAATAATGAAAGTGGACGAAGCAAAACAAGTATGTAAGGATCGTAGCAAGTGGAAAGAACTGGTCTCTGCCTACCCCTACGGGAAAGAGGCGTGATTATATGTATGTATGTATGTAAAAATTTATTTTATGGGAAATGGTCCAAATAGGACTGCCACTCAGGAAATACTAAGATGTATATATATAATTTACAGTAGAACTTGGTTAAGTGGGACCTGGATAAGTGAGAAACCTTCATAGCTGCAACTCATGCTTAGGTCCCGACACTGTAGAACTGAATTACCTCTGTTAGTATTACAAAACAAACCTCTATATCTGGGATTAGTTCTTTTGATTTTATCGACATAATTACCTCTATAATTGAGACAGCGAGTGTATTTTACCTCTTTTACTGAGACTATATTTTAGGGATTAGTTCTTTCGATTTTATTCGTCATAATTACCTCTATGATTGAGACAGCGAGTATATTTTACCTCTTTTACTGAGACTATATTTTAGGGATTAGTTCTTTCGATTTTATTCGTCATAATTACCTCTATGATTGAGACAGCGAGTATATTTTACCTCTTTTACTGAAACTATATTTTAGGGATTAGTTCTTTCGATTTTATTTGTCATAATTACCTCTATTATTGAGACAGCGAGTATATTTTACTTCTTTTACTGAGACTATATTTTAGGGATTAGTTCTTTCGATTTTATTCGTCATAATTACCTCTATGATTGAGACAGCGAGTATATTTTACCTCTTTTACTGAAACTATATTTTAGGGATTAGTTCTTTCGATTTTATTTGTCATAATTACCTCTATTATTGAGACAGCGAGTATATTTTACTTCTTTTACTGAGTCTATATTTTAGGGATTAATTCTTTCGATTTTATTTGTCATACTTACCTCTATAATTGAGACAGCGAGTATATTTTACCTCTTTTACAGAGACTATATTTTGTGTACCTTTTTGTTTACTAATTCTTATTCTACTCGCAATTTCCGCACATGGCTAATTGTGTAAAAGTGACATCCAGTTTTAGTTTGTTTTTGCTATCGTCCAGATGTTTATGTATTATGTTTACAAAATACGTTATTTTATTTATAAATCGCACCTCTATAACTGAAATAACCTCTCACCTCTAATAATGGAACCCTCTGTAAATGACACAGATATTTATTTATACCTTAATATCTAAGACAATGTGTAAGTGGAATACCTCTTTAAGTGACGCAAATTTGCAGGTCTTTAAGGTCCCAGTTATCCAGGTTTCACTATATATATACATACATACACATACACATACTTCTCTTCTTACCTATTTTTGTACTCAAGCAGCAGTGCGAGCACTGTTTTCCAGTCTACGTGGTAGAGCCATGCTGCAGATATATCATGGTTGTAGCACGAATGAGTCGGTTCGACCGGGGAAGGACCACGCTCTCACAGAAAACCAGCGTAAAATAGCAGCTTAACGCTGCTGTGTTTCGTATGGTGAGTGTAGAGAACCGGAGACCCTTTTTACTGGCAAAGAGGCATTCCATCTTTGTACTCACGGGTGACAACGCATCTGCATCTTGAGTCTTTATTAAGGATAGATGTAGATGTCTATGGGTCACAGTAACCACTTACCATCAGGTGGACTGTGTGCTCGTTTGTCACCCGATCCTATAAAAAAAATTTTAATATGGTCGGGCCATTGATACTTCATCTTAAGTATAGAGAGCTATCATAATAACAAACTGAGAAGCATTTCATTTTAATCCTCCGAGGTGATAACACATCTGTAACCTTTGTGGGAAGTTATAGATTTCGGTCACATTTTGAGAATGCGAGTTTTCATCAGATCGTTTTGATGTCTTAGGAAGCCGTTTCGATTATTACCGGCTGGACGACCGGCCGTGTGTGCGTGCGTGAAGCGTGCGTGCGTGCGTGCGTGCGTGCGTGCGTGTGTGCGTGCGTGTGTGTGTGTGTATGTGTGTGTGTGTGTGTGTGTGTGTGTGTGTGTGTGTGTGTGTGTGTGTGTGTGTGTGTGTGTGTGTGTGTGTGTGTGTGTGTGTGTGCATGTAAATAAAATTTTGTCGTACGATATCTTTAGAATGAATTAACCGATCGAGATGGACGACACGGCGTTCGAAAATGTTTATTAAGACTACAAGCTGATTACATTTTGAAGTCAATTGGTCGAGTCGTTTAAAGATTTAAAAAAAAAACTAAAAACCAAAAAAACTAAAGTTAAATAGGTTTTCGATCGTTGCACTCGAAAATAAGCGGGAAGTTCTAGTGATGGCATACAGGGTCAACCGTTTTTCAGATTTATTGTCTGAATCTGTTTGTAGGTGCCGAAGGGCTGCATCAGGTAGACAGTTAGTGTGCTTGTAACCTCAATTTATTTTTTCAAATATGGCCGGCAGTTACTCTGGTTATACTACTAAATATTTAATAAATAAGAATATTTTCATTTATTTTATTTTAGATTTGCCTCTAACATCTCCATTGCAACATGAAATACCAAGAATCGAGGTTATAGAACATGATAATGAAGCAGAAAATTACAACCAAGAAGAGAAGATTAAAGTAGAAGAAATTATTAAAGACGCACTGAAAATTGTAGACAGGTTGGAAAGAGAAGCAGAGAATAATGAACTAGTCCAGACCTTGCTGACGAACATTAAGAGTATAGCCGGTAAGTTACACATTTTTATAGAATAAGGGTGACAAACGAACACGCAGTCCACCTGAGATGCTGTGGCCCATAGACATCTACATTTATAACCCATTAAAAATCAAAATGCAGATGCGCTGTCACGCCTGAGGACTAAGATGGAATGCCGCGTTTACAGTAAAAAGAGTCTCCGGTTCTCTACACTCACCTGAAGAAACACAACAGTATTAAGCTGCTATTTCACGCTGGTATTCTATGAGAGCGTGATCAACGGTAGCACCCAGCCATCTCTATTGTTTGGATGTTTTTAATTTCAATAAGCTCGCAAATCATCTTTAGTAGTAACCGGTGGTCTTTTGCGAGGTTTTGTGTTTTATCAAAACTGATGGCTGAATGGCGAGAACGATCTTGAACATGTTCACGCACTGAAGGCACCTTAGTTCCCCTTGACCATGGGTTGTAGTACAGCACCTGAAACGTCAGATATTAAAAATAATAAATAAAATTAAACCATCATCCCGTTGGTGTCGTAAGAAGCGACAGAGTGAAACAAATAATACTGACACGTACTACCCGTGCACGACCAGTTCATACTCCAAATACTTAAGGATTTTTTTAAATAATTCTATTAAAATAAAAGTGTAACATAATAAAGGTACTCGGGCGATCACTCGCGGCAAGTTGGCCACGACAGCAGCGCGGAACACTTACGGCAGACGTACTGTTGTATACTTGATTCCTAGAATCATAAATAAATTGGATCCCGAGTTTAGGAACTCTATTAATGAAAAAAATATATAAAAAACAAACTGAAGATTTTTCTAGCGAGTTCTTTGGACAGTAAAGATCAAATAGTTACGTGAATAGGTATATTAACTTTGTTTCTTCTTCTTTTTTAAGCATAGTGAACGCAAACACAGCAACTAAACCTCAGTGGGTTGCGCTGTGTTTAATGTGTATTAACAATTGTTCAATTTTATGGGTAATAAATTAAAATAATCAGAAGATGGGCAGCAGCGTCTTCCTAATACGAGTAAGAATAAAAAACTGCAGTTGCCAACCCGCTTGCCAAACGTGGCAATCTATGGGGAGGTTTATGTTCAGCAGTGGACTTTAATAGGCTGTAATGGATGGATGTATAGAAGATAATCTACCAGGAGCACATGACCCACTGAGAGGTGAAATTATTAAATCAACAGTAACATTACAACTATGACCAAATATCCTCGACGAGGCAATTTATGCAGGAGGCCTACGTTCAGCTGTGGACTTTAATAGACTGTAACGGATGGATGTATAGAAGATAATCTACCAGGAGCACATGAACCACTGAGAGGTGAAATTATTAAATTAACAGTAACATTACAACTATGACAAAATCCCCCTATGAGACAATCTATTGGGGAGGCCTATATTCAGCTGTGGACTTTAATAGGCTGTAATGGTAACAGCAAACGCGATAAAATCCGTAAAATTAGTTTTTTTCCTAACCAATAAATTTACTTTACTTTAATTCCCTTATCCAGACTCCGCAGCACCGATTGAGGAGCAATTGAGGCAAATGAAGAGTCAGCTGGAGACTTTGGCGCAAGTCCCAAACATTATCAGGGAAACCTGGGATAACATAAGTGAGCGGCTGAACCAAATAGGCCACCAGGTACGTTACAAAAATCCAAAAAAAAACTAACTATCATCAGGATGACCTTTTTCCGGTGATCAATTTAGACTACAGCAACATTTATTCAAGTAAAGGTCACAAGCAAGCATACATTCCACCTGATGGTAAGTGGATGCTCTGCGGTGGCGTCAGCGTGCATTAGGCAGGCCCTGTATCAAAATTTATTGGGTGCCACAAATGAATGGTTAAAGATTTTTCACAACAAGGAACAAAAACCTCGCATTGAGTTAAAATAATAATAATATATCTCATCATTACAGCCCTTCACAAGTCCACTGCTGAACATAGGCCTCCCCCAAAGAATGCCACAAAGCACGGTCCTGAGCCACCTGCATCCATCGACTTCCTGCATGTCTTACCAGGTCGTCACTCCATCTCGTGGGGGGACGCCCTACACTTCGCCTACCGGTACGAGGCCGCCACTCGAGAACCTTTCTTCCCCATCGGTTGTCGGTTCTTCGAGCTATATGGCCGGCCCACTGCCACTTCAGCTTACTAATCCGTTGGGCTATGTCGGTTACTCTGGTTCTACTGCGGATATCCTCATTCCTAAGTTTATCACGCAGAGAAACTCCGAGCATAGCCCTCTCCATAGCTCGCTGAGCGACCTTGAGCTTTTTCATACGGCCATAATAATATATCTATACAAATAATTTAAAATTTTAAATTTTGTACAGCCGACCTCAATATAAGTTATTAAGAATAACTCAAAAACTATTGGTCTGACCTTGATCAAATTCATATGGGACCACACGAGAAGTACCAGCTTTCAAATAAAAAAAGAATCATCGAAATCGGTTCACCCGGTACAAAGTTATGAGGTAACACACATAAAAAACATACAGTCGAATTGAGTACCGTCTCCTTTTTGGAAGTCGGCAGATAAATAAAATTGAAGTGTCTATTTGTAATGTCAAAATAACAGCTTTTTACTAAATGCATATGAAAGTTTATACAGTGCTTATAACAAAAACACAATTTTTAAAATGTTTGTCTGTGTGTCTGTCTATCTGTCTGATTGTTCCGGCTAATCTCCGAAACGGCTGGACCGATTTTGACGGGACTTTCACTGACAGATAGCTAATATTATAAGGAGTAACTTAGGCTGCTTTTATTTTAGAAAAGTATGTAGGGTTCCATGCAAAAAAATTAAAACCAAATTACACGCGGGCGAGGTGGCGGGGTACAGCTTTTTTTTTATATTAACCGTTACCCCCACACTAGGATTTTCTCCTGTATCGTGGAGGCAGTTTACAAACACAAATTTCACAAGGACAAACATCCAGACCCGGAACAATTATTTGTAGGCCATACAAATACTTGTTACGTGCGGGATTCGAACCCGCGCCCCCCAGCGCAGCAACTCATTGCTAAGCCACTGCGCCACGGAGCCGTCCTTACAATTGATACGCCTAGGAACTAAGCTAGCCAAACAATTCAAATCAAATAGTTTTTTTTTAATTTTCTGTCTCTATAGACAATCGTGACAAGTCTAATAGCTTTTCCTGTCACATAGAAGTCCTTAGAATTTTAGTTTACACACGTTAGGGGCCCCTGTACCCCGGGGACCCCGTATCAGCTACGCCCCTGATGCTGTGGCCACTTGGCCATAAACACTTCTATCATCGATTAAGAACTTCTGATCTACTTGCAGCTATGCGCACCTGCTCGCGCCGCCCGTGGTCAGACCAATTTGCTTAGTAACCCACCTTTAGTTCGAACAATCCTCGTAGTGAACAAAGTTCACGAGAGGATTGATATATTTTCGAGTCATCTAAGTGAACTCGCTAAGATACTTGAATATATAGTTAGTTATGTTAGTCAGTTGTAATATATAGTATATAAGTAGATAAGCAACACTATCGTAGATAGATAGATAACACTTTATTGTACGCCAAAAAATAACAATAATATTAACAAAAAATGAGAATTAGAAATGTGGTACAATGGGCGGTCTTATCGCTAAGAGCGATCTTTTCCATACAACATTTGGATGGACAGGATTGCAAGAAAGCAATAAAAACGTGTGTGGTTTGCTAACAAAATAACATTATTTTTATTAAAGCCATAAAATAAAAAGATATAATGGTATATAAGTAACTACATAGATAAGATAAATACATATATACTTATTAATATATATATATATATATATATATATATATATATATATATATATATATATATATATATGTATAAATATACAAATAAATATATATTTTTATAAATATAAATATATAAAAGTACAAGTACTTATATACTTTAAAACTATTACATATAACATAAAAGTGCCATACATATAAACAAATATTGTAACTAAATAAAGGAGAATAATTATATACAAATGAACTAGATAGAATCAAAGTTGAGAAAAGTAATCATGTACATGTTTCTTAAAAACCGGTAGGGATTGAGCGCGTCTTGGTGATAACGGCAAGTCATTCCATAATCGAACAGCTTGTGTTGTGAACGATCTGTTCAAAAATTTGGTAGTGTGGGCTGGCATTTTTAATATCAAATTTTCTGATGATCTCAAATGTCTCAAATGTGATTCATTGAGGAATTCAAACCGATTTTTTAGGTAAGAAGGATAGAAAGGATTAAAAAGTATATTATAAAGAAGTGAGAGAATATGAACATTCCGGCGAAGGCGAATTGGCAACCACTTGAGCCTGTTACGAAATACTTACACATGATCATATTTACGCAAACCAAATATCGTAATGGGTTTGTATAGCCTGTACGGATAGTTGTTAAATGTGTGTAAATAAATAAATAAAGAATCAAAATGCATCGTCACCCCTGAAGACCTATTGTTAGTATTGTCCGAGATGGCAGTCAAAATTCAAAGAGCAGCGACCTACTCGGACCATAGGTGGTAGCTCATCACTTACACAAACACAAACCCAATATCCCATTAGTTACATTATAGGACATGCAAGGCAAGTAACTCAGTTGGCACATTCTTTTTTGTTATAATTTCCATATAAACATGGGATCTATAAGTCCCAGACTAACATGAGACTCCTTAAGACTAAGATGGAAATTATTTTTACCAGTAAAATGGGTCTCTGGTTCTCTACACTCATCATACTAAACTCAGCAGATTTCTACCTCTCATTTACGCTGAAATTCGGTGCGAACGGAGTCTTGTAAAATGGTTCATCCTATGGGAAATGCTAAAAAACTCTTATGGCTTCCGATAATGCTCGATCAAAGTACAGGTGTTACCCTTGTTACGTTGTCACCCTTGAGGACTAAGATGGAATGCCTCGTTTCCAGTATAAAGCGTCTCTGGATCTCTACACTCACCATACGATGTTTCGTACGCAGCATTCTAACTGTACTTTACGCTGAAATTCTGTGAAAACGTGGGTCTTCCTCGGTCAAGCCATCCGTTCGTGCTTTAATCGACGGCTCCGTAGCGCAATGGTTTAGCAATGAGTTGCAGCGCAGAGGGTCGCGGCTTCTAATCCCGCACGGAACAAGTATATGTATGGCCTACAAATAACTGCAGTTATTTGTTAGTTATGTCTTTGTTCTTGTGAAATTTATGTATGTAAACTGCACCCACGATACAGGAGAAAATCCTAGTGTTGAGTTAAGTTTTTTATAAAGCAAAATAAACATAATACAACTGCAACGTGGCTCTGTCACGTGAATTCAATTATAATTAATCATTTGCAATTAATAATACCATTACTGTAATTACTGGCAAGCAGTGTTGCGATGAACCTTGGCAGTCAGTCAAGGCGCAAAAAAACACGTCGAATACTTTGGCATTAGTTATTCAGCTGCAGTTTTTAGTGATTTCATGAAAGTGATTGTGGCTTGTAGTGTAATTGATTTGTGGTTTTCACGTAAGTAGAAATATCTTTTTATAATAGAAAAAAAAAAACAGGCAAAGATATTCTAGTGATTCCTTTTAAAACTTGGTGCCAAATCTTCTGTAATTTAACAGCGTAGTTCCTGCCCTCTTAAGTCTAACCCGGAAAACTTGTTAGGTACGTCCTTGGTTAAAGTCAGACCTCCTCCCATTTTTGAAAGGGTTTGTTGGGTAGGATGGCATCCGCTGTGGTACTCTGATGTGTGTTGGACTTTACATCTATCCATCGATCCATTACATCCTATGAATCTCCACTGCTGAACCTAGGCTATCCCCATAGATTGCCTCATAGGCGGGATTTTGTCATAGTTGTAATGTTACTGTTGATTTAATAATTTCACCCCTCAGTGGGTCATGTGCTCCTGGTAGATTATCTTCTATACATCCATCCATTACACCCTATTAAAGTCCACTGCTGGAAATAGGACTCCCCCATAGATTGCCTCATAGGGGGGGATTTTGTCATAATTGTAAATGTTACTGTTGATTTAATAATTTCGCCTCTCAGTGGGTGATGTGCTCCTGGTAGGTTATTTTCTATACATCCATCCATTACAGCCTAGCTGGACATAGGCCTCCCCCATAGATTGCTTCATAGGGGGGATTTTGTTTTATTAGCGCATATTAACTTGGCAGGCGTATTGGCGCGATTTTTAAATAATTATGAGTCTTTATCAGGAAGATATCGAAGCTGTTTCAGGCCCTCTGTTGTCTCTTACGACACTTTGACGTGCAGGTTTTCTCATAATGTTTACCTTCTTCCTTCTGGTCATTTATTTTTATAATAACTACAAAGACAAATTGCATTGAAGTGAACATAAACCATAAACTCGTTTGAGATTTTCCATATACCAGTGCTGACTACACTAGGTACACAATACTAAGGGTTTTCTCTAATAAAATTATTCTTTGTTTTTCTCTAATAGAACGTTACCCCCACACTAGGATTTTCTCCAGTGTCGTAGAGGCAGTTTACAAACACAAATTGCACAAGGACAAACATCCAGACCCGGATCACCAGCTTCCTTGCAGATCGGAGCATCAAGGTCGTTGTAGACGTTGCATGCTCTGACTACAAGCCTATTAACGCTGGTGTTCCACAAGGCTGTGTGCTATCACCAACGCTGTTTCTTCTGCATATCAATGATATGTTGCTAACTGGTAACATTCATTGCTATGCGGATGACAGCACTGGTGATGCTCTATACACCGGCCGTGCCAATATTTCTCGGGAAAACGTCGCTGAGTACCGGAACAAACTTGTGTCTGAAGTCGAGTCTTTGCTGAGCAAAGTCTCGGATTGGGGGCGACTAAATCTAGTCCAGTTTAATCCTCAGAAGACACAAGTTTGCGCGCTTACCGCTAAAAAGAACCCCTTTGTCGTATCTCCTCAGTTTCAAGGCACTCCCCTTGTTGCCTCAGCCAGTATCGGTATCCCCGGAGTCGACATATTGAGTAACGTGCAGTTTTGTGGTCACTTGGAAGGGAAGGCCAAATTGGCCTCTAAAAAGCTTGGCGTGCTCAGCAGAGCGGGACAGTATTTCATGCCGGCATACCGCCTGCAACTTTACAAGGCGCAAGTTCGGCCTCACATGGAATACTGTTCCCATCTATGGGCAGGGGCTCCCCAGTGCCATCTCCTTCCACTTGACCGCATCCAACGCATAGCGGCTCGAATCGTCGACGACCGGGTCCTTTCCGATCGGCTCGATTCATTGGCACTGCGAAGAGATGTTGCATCCCTTTGCATTTTCTTTCGCATCTACCATGGGGAGTGCTCTGAGGAATTGTTCGGATTAATCCCAGCCGCCAAATTTCACGAACGCACATCGCGGCAGAACTCCCGATACCATCCACACCATCTGGATGATTGGCGGTCCACCACTGTGCGATTTAGAAGATGTTTTCTTCCTCGCACGACCTCCTTGTGGAATCGATTACCATCAGCGATTTTTCCTGACCGATACGACTTAGGGACCTTCAAGAAAAGAGCGTACTCCTTTTTGAAAGGCCGGCAACGCATCTGCGATTCCCCTGGTGTTGCAGTTGTACATGGGCGGCGGTAGTCACTTACCATCAGGTGAGCCGCATGCTCGTTTGCCCCCTCTCCTATAAAAAAAAACAATTATTTGTAGGGTATATCATAATCACATAGTTGACATGTAGTTTCTTTATATAGGATAAGGGTAACAAATGAGCACACAGTCCACCTGATGGTATGTGGTGTGTGATCCATAGATATCTACATTTATCCTCGATTAAAAATCAAAATGCAGACGCGTTGCCAACCCTGAGGTGCGTTTCGTATGGTGAGTGTAGAGAACCGGAGACCCTTTTTACTGGAAATGAGGCATTCCATCTTAGTCCAGGTGGACTGTGTGCTCGTTTGTCGCCCTATCCTATAAAAATAACCCTAAGGACTAAGATGGAGTGCCTCGTTTCCAGTAAAAAATGTCTTCGGTTTTCTACACTCAACATACAAAACACAGCAGCGTTAAGCTGCTATTTCACGCTGGTATTCTGTGAGAGCGTAGTCCTTCCCCGGCCGAGCCGACCCATTCGTGCTACAACCACAATATAGCTGCAGCATGGCTCTACCACGTAAATAGTTATATTTGTTAATATATATATATAGTTTCACGCCCGTGCATATTATTGTCCTACGCCGAGTCCTGGCTAGTCTCTGCTTAGGCTGGCCGCCGTGACCGAAATTAGGTCTAAATGATATTATTATTACTGCTTAAATACGGCTCGAAATTCAGACTCAGTTTGCGAAGATATTATAAAATTTTGTTTGGCAATGATATTAAAAGTTTGACCCATCACGGCTCTTAATATTTCAGAGTTCATCAAATTCAACTCTAAATTAAGTTATAAGTACTTCATCATCATCATCATTACGGTCCTTCACTTCATCAGTCCACTACTGAACATAGGAGACCATAAAGAATGCCAAAAATTAAACCAAAAACTGTCCACCTGCATTCATCGATTTCAGGTCTTATCAGGTTGTCACTCCATCTAGTAGCGGCTCTCCTTTCACTTACTGAAGTAATACTAATAGTTTACTATTTTTAAGTTATACTTACAAACAGAATTAAGTTAATCTAAAGTTAAGTAAGTCTTTTTATAATATTGATGTGACAAAAGGCCTCACAGTCCACCCGAAGATAAGTTTTGTACGTGGTAGAGCCATGCTGCAGCTATATCAGCAGTATAGTTGTAGCACGAATGGGTCGGCTCTACCGGGGAATGACCACGCTCTCACATAATACCAGCGCAAAATGGCATTTTGACACCGCTGTGTTTCGTATGGTGAGTGTAGAGAACCGGAGACCCATTTTACTGAAAAAGAGGCATTCCATCTTAGTCCTCACGGGTGACAACGCATCTGCATTTTGATTCTTCATTGAGGATAAATGTAGATGTGTATGGGTCACGGCAACCACTTACCATTAGATAGATTGTGTGCTCGTTTGCTATCCTATAAAAAAGTGGCTAATGTAGTCCATAGACATCTGCAACCAGGTTCAAAAAAAGGATGCAACAGGTGTGTTGTCACCTCTGAACACTAAAAAGGAATACCCCACAGCCTGGAATTTGGTGGCAGAAATAGGTAAGGAGGTAGAGCCTACATAATCTAACCAGGAAAGACGTCCTTCCAACTAGTAAAGTGTTAAGTTACATGGTATAACCACGCCGCACTATGACGTTGCCAGCACGCATGGCAGCATAATTCTGCTGTTTCATATGATGAGAAGATATCCGGAGACTCTTCTAACTGCTAAAAAAAACCATTTAATTTTAATCCTCAAACGTGAATGTGCAGCTGCATCTGTATCTATGGGCTGCAACATCCTCCTAACATTAGATCAATTGTGTGGCCATTTAGCACACTTGTATTTAAATATATTGTATTATATAGTCAGTCAGTGTTTTTTTTTTAAATTATGCTATAATTGTGTGAAGAGTATAAATGTATCGTTATATAATAAAACAAATAAACGAAACAGTCTGCAACTTACACAATACGATGTTTTTTTTTCAGAAAAAAGAAGAAACTATACCACATTCGGAATACATTGAGCAACACCTAGATAGCCCAGGTATATATTTTATTATCTTTTCTTTTGGCATTGGCACCCAGGTTTTCAGCCAAAAAGTATACATCAAATGCTGCAACAAATTTAAAAAATCATACATAAATGTTTAAATGAATTTCTTTACAGTATGTTGATGCGTCACACTGCTATTCTTGTGAGAGATTTACAGACAGTCGAAGACGATAGATTGCCAAGTTCCCAAGGCACCTAAGAGAAAAAAAAACATCTTGAGACTTATATAACTATTGGAGCATTTGTTTCATCATTTCTCTTTTCTTCTAAAAGTTCACTTGCGCAGACATTAAATAGATAAAATCGCACATCTTTTACTTGTTAGAAATCTTCTTCAGACCATTATTTAAAACATTGATGTAATTGGCAATGCCAAAACCACTTAGGCCAGGTGTATTTTTAAAATGTAATTATTTTATTATAAAGAAAAAACATTACTGCAAGTAATATTTTATTAGAATTAGCACGACTACTAACTAGGAATCGTTTTACGCAAATAAATTATATTATTCTGTTTTTCCCTCATATGTAGTGTCCCCACATGTACATCTGTCTTCAAAGCAAGAGTGAATAGCTCTTGTTAGGCTAAGGCACCAACCTGAAGCAACATCTCACTTTAAGCCTGACGTATACGGGATGATTATACAGTCATCTAAAGTAGAACAAAAGAACCTTCTGGAATATCCCACAGTCGCATCTTGCCTACTATATCAAATGGGGTGATTTCCCTTACGCCGTCACTATACAGCCATCCCATCTATCCATCCATTACAGTCTATTGTAAGTCCTCTGCTGAACATAGTCCTTCCCCATAGATTGTCTCTTAGGGGGAATTTTGTCATAGTTGTAATGTTACTGTTGATTTAATAATTTCACCTGTCAGCGGGTCATGTGCTCCTGGTGGATTATCCTCTATATCCATCTATTACAGCCTATTAAATTCCCTGCTGAACATAGGCCTCCCCCATAGATTGCCGCATAGGGGGGATTTTGTCCTAGTTGTAAAGTTAATAATTTCACCTCTCAGTGGGTCATGTGCTCCTGGTAGATTTCTATACATCCATCCAAACAGCCTATTAGTCCACTGCTGAACATAGGCCTCCCCAAAGATTGCCTCATATGGGGAATTTTATCATAGTTGTAATGTTACTAGTGGTTAAGTAATTTCACCTCTCCGTGAGTCATGTGCTCCTGGTAGATTATCTTCTAGACATTCATCCATTACCGTCTAGTCAGTCCTCTGCTGAACATAGGCCTCCCCCAAAAACTGACTCACTTTGCCACAGTTGCCACGATTGGTACGCGTGTTTGCAACCGCAGTTTTTTGTATAATTTAGTGTTGTTAAGTTTCGTCAAGTCGCCTCTTGCACCTACGGCATGAAAGGGGTAGTGGATATGCTTACACCGCCACTACAAGATAAGTACACGATTATTACACATTAAAAATGTTATATTTATCAAAAAAAAATAGTTTGTAATGGGTAGAGCGCATGCCCAAGCACCGATATTTTTATTTAACTAAGGATAACAAATGAGCACACATTCAACCTGATACCAACTGTATACTGTTGCCCAGTGTAGTGTATCTTCGAATATGTGATTTTAAGTATTTTTAAATTTTATTAAGTACTAGCTGACCCGACAAACGTTGTTTTGTCATACACATTATTTCTAGGAAATATTTTTGACTTTTAAAAATCGCGAATAAAAACAGGGGTTGATCGTAGTAGGGTGAAAATTTGAAGTTTTATATATTTTTCAATGCTAAATCATAATAAAATAAAATAAATGTCAAATAAATAAATATAAATATTTAGGGGTGGCTCACCCTTATCATTTAGGCGTTTGAAAAATAGATGCTGGCCGATTCTCAGACCTACCCGATATGCACACAAAATTTCATACAAATCGGTTCAGCCGTTTCGGAGGAGTTTGGTAACAAACACCGCGACACCAGAATTTTATATATTAGATTTTGTAAGAGTGTAGTCCTTCTCCGGTCCAGCAGTACTTGTCGTGCTGTAGACGTAATACAGCTGTAATGTGCAATCAAGCGATTATCTTCTTGTCTAATGGATGTAAACGTGACTGCTGATCCCAGGTTTAAAGCCCAGAATCGGTATAAACTTGTTATTGGATTTTTCTGCCCTCTCTGCCTCAATAAGATCATAAAGCCATTGACCCTGTGCCTGAGTGTGGGGGGATAGAGGGAGCACCTGTGCTTGCGCACATCTGTACACTATAATACTGTCCTGTGCAGATGGCTAGTCTCCGTTGAGACTGGGATTTTTGGCGGGAACTTGATCGGCGGCGGTTCGCTGCTTCTGTATTATTGTTTAAATAATGGTTTGAAGTGGACTTTGATATGTAAAAGTGCTGCGATTTTGTGGATTAAGTGCCTGCGCATGTGAACTATTAGTGGAAACTGTGAAACAAGTGCTCTGATGGTGATGTGATTCTCAGAATAAGGTGTCCGTCTGCTTAGGCGCCTTGAGATACCATCGCCAACCGTCAGCTCTGCTGGCTCAAGTTGCCGTCAAAATCTCCCAAGGGCTGCCAAATGTGACGCATCAACATATTGTGAAGCAGTATACTATGAAGGATAATTATTATAATATATTGTAACTTCAGGCTCAGAAGGGCTAGATCCCAGAGCCGTAAAGCCAGTTAAGAAGAAGATCTGTTGAGACTGGCTGCCGTGACAGAAATTAGGTCTGGTGGACATTATTATTATTGCAGCTGCAACGTAAACCTACCAAGTTTTTACCAAGCACGCATATCACATTTCATTACCAGTTTCTTTATGACAACTCACTATAAGTATTTCTACTGACTTACGGCCATGCCGTCCTCTTTAGCGCAAAACCAGGATAAAAGTGAAGGAGTTGAAGTCAGTACAGAAGAAAGAATAGAACCACAGATTAAAGAGACCGAGGTAACGACTAAAATAGTTGCGGAAACAATGCCGGCAGAGACGAGTGCGACGCTAACAGTGACTGATGATTCCGAAAAGAAGAATACCGTAAGTTTGTATATGATAATTTTAAAAATAAAGTGACAATGGCCGGTTATATCTGGACCGTACTGTACCGGCCACCGTTGTTTAAGATTCTCGATTCGATCTCGAGGGGCTGTCAGTACGTTTAGAGTTACAGCTTATATACGTTCCACAGCTGAGCACAGGCCTCCTCTCATTTCTGAGAGGGTTTTAGAGCAAAAAAATGTCCGCCGCACTGCCCTAACACGTGTTGGGAATCTTCTTTTCATCTTCGAAATATATTTTTTTTTATTTCTCAGTCATGCAGATTTCCTCACGATGTTTTTATTCATCGCCAAGCACGTGGTACATCAGTATTTAAAATTGCAATTAACAATTTCATTAGTACCGGCGGGGATCGAACCCGTGTTACTCGCTCGCTGTAAATTTCGGCACGTACGTTTAAATATAACTAATCTTACGGATTGTTTGTGTTTTGATATTAGAAAAATCAAACATGGATTTTATATGAGTACGTGGCTTCTATGACATGTCCTGATTCTAAAAGTTATAATGCACCAACTTATTGATGGTAAATTAAATAAATAAATAGAATTTGAAGAGGTTTTCCTAATCTTCATCATCATCAGAGTGCTAAAGCCCACAGTTGGACATGGCTTGAGCACCTATGACGCTGTTGCCCGTCGCCCGTCTAGGTATTTTTCGTCTATTGTAACAATCGGTATTCCGCCATCTTTAAGTGTAAAGAACATAAGATCTATTTGACATATCCCAAACTCTCCTCATACGACACCCACGGCACGAAATGGGGCGCTGTATTTTTTTTATAGAGTAAAAGTTACAAACGAGTACACATTCCACCTGATGGTAAGTGGATGCTGCGGCCCATAGACATCTACATCTATCCGCGATTAAGAATCAAAATGCAGATACGTTTTCACTCTGGGGACTAAGATGGAATGCCTCGTTTCCAGTAAAAGGAGTCTCCGGTTTTCTACACTCACCATAAGAAATACAGCTGCATTTTTATGCTGGTATCTGTGTAAGCGCGGTCCCGCCCCGGTCGGGTCGACCTATTTATGTTACAACCGTAACATAGTCGCAGTATGACTCTACCACGTTGGAAATGGATCCTTTTACGATGGCACTACATGGGTTTTAAAAACTGAAATAACTAAAAATATTATATCGTAACTTAGTCAGGCAGAACCGAAACCCAAAATCAAGTAATACAGAAGACGCCCCACAGAAAACCGCAACCAAAGTTTGGAAGGTTAAACCCAGAAGGGCCTTCCCTGATCCTGCCTGGTGGTAGACGATGGCGAAGACCTGGAGAAGAGTACAACGAGGAAAAGATTGCGGAGACTATTCTAGCTCAATCTGAAATCGTTCAAGGGAAAACTCTAGGGTATATTGTTAGGTTTTAATTTAGTTTCAGTGTTCAATGTTGGTTCCTGAATGACCTATCGTTTATTTGATCTATTTGGGCTAAAGCATGGGAGCTCCGAACGCTATTACTTAATTTTTTATAACTTGACAATCTTCTTTTTAAATCTTGGTTCGAATCCGCTATTCGACTCTGTCGTGAACCACTTCTAACACAAGCATTTTAAGTTTACCAGAAGTGGTTAAAGAGAATATTAGTAATATTTAAATTTTGAAAGTTGACGCCTTAGTCCCCGATTTCTGCTACTATCTCTAGATGTAGGCAGAATATCCCATAAATTCTATTCTATCCAATACCAGAAACACACTTTAGATAGTCGTGGCTCTGGACGTAAGTAATTGAGACTGTTAGATAAAAGAAAGTAAATAATGGCGAGTTTATAATACCTTAGTGATTCAGGAGCGCGATTTAGGAAGTTCATTTGTACATTTTTATAAAACTAAGTGAAAAACGAGCATACAGTATACTTGGCAGTAAGCGGCTCCTACAGTCCATGGACACCTGCAGTAAACTTTAAACAAAGAGGCTACATCACCTCTGAATGCCTCACAGCCTGTAAGGACACTCAGAGGCGTAGCATGGACTAATATAGACGTGGGCGAAGTCCAATCAGCGAGGCCCCTTTTCTTTCATTCCCAAGATCTTCCCAATACATATATCCCTAACAAACATGCTTTGACACGACGTACGTATTCATAGCTAAATTCCTGACAAGTTTCGTATTCCGTCAATGGAACGGTCGTGGTCTTTGAAGGTAGTTACATAGGCTTCGCAGTCGCACTTAAGAGGGGCTTCTTGCGAGGCCCCAAACAATCGCCCTTTTAAATTTATAATAATCGTAAAAGTGATTAAATTAATTAGTCATCTGTGGTAAAGTCTGGAGGCATCGCACTTAAAGGTGCGAGGCTGAGTATACCGGCTCTCTGTACCGTTCAGACCTCAACACTGCTGTGGAAGCACTATTATTTATAGGACATCGAAATAAAATTGTACTCCTTTGATGTGTTAATGATGTAGCGCCCCTTCCCATGATATAATGAACTCGACTGGAACTTCCAACGGGCCACCTCATTCATAGACTATTGGAGGGCTGGACGTTATAGAGTATAGAGACGGTACAGAGCCGGCACAAGTTTGTACATCTTTATTTTCCCGCCTTTTTTAATTTTACATGACTAACAAGTTTTAATGTCTGTTTGTTTGCATGTTTATCTGCGCTGTGGCAGGTCGAACAGTGGAACAAGGTTTGGCCTTGGACTCCCTCTGTTTGTAGGAAATATAGGTATGTAGGTTGTGCGAATGTATGTCCGACACTAACCAAGGGTCATTATCCACAACTAGGTAGCCAAATGCACAACTCTCTTTTACCCATTTATCCGCAACACTGTTTGTTCGTAAGAGTCCTGTAAGAAAATTACTGAATTTTAGATGATTCAGGACTTGCGCACTTTAAATAATAAAGTGAAATAAAGTTAAAAATATATTAAATTAAATAATTAAGTAAAAAAAGAAAAATAATAACTTTATTGTTAGGTATGCTGAATACAAAAGAAAACTAAAATTAAGAAAAAAAATTGTGAGTAAATATTTGCTGCGTAGAGAGAGAATAAACTACCCTCTATGATTTTCTGTAATTATATGGTGTTATTTGTAGCCTGTGCCTATGTTTATTTAAAAAGGTTTTTTTTTATTTTTTAGTTTATTTAAGAAAGGACAGTAACATATTGTATATATTTATAGATTTTATATTTTTTAAGCAATTAAAAAAAATTAAATGCGCTTACTTTTCTCCTACCTGCGTTTTCCTACGAATCGGTTAATTTTGACTGGAGGAAATAAGTCATAAAATCTTTTTTATGTAATAAATTAAGGTCTTCACATTTTTTGAGTGCCAAAATTTTGATTTTTAACCTTAATTGACTAGACTAGAATAGAATAGAATCTTTTTTTATTTAATATAGATTATAAATATAATACTTATTGAAAGTCACTGTTATACTTAATTTATCACTGCTTCTCAGTCTTGGGGAGAGCCCGCAAGAAACTCAGTGGAACTTTTATTAAAAAAAGAACAGTTTACAATCGTTAAAGTTACATAATAGTTAACATCACTAGACAAATTAGAAATAGCATGGTAGCGATTACCTCATTCCTACGAGTTATTATCATCTATAAATTCCTTGATGGTTTGGGATCAAACACGGGGTTTGATAATGTTGCCAAACCAAATTAAAATATACGCTATATAACATAAATTTTATATCAATTTTTTATACTGACAATAAGTAATTAATTCGGTAACATAAGTAAGGGTGACAAAGGGCACAGAGTCCACCTGATGGTATATGGATGCTGTGGCCCATAGATATCTGCAGATGCGTTGTCACTCCTGAGGACTAAGATGGAATGCATATGCGTTGTCACTTGTCAGCAGTGAGGACTAAGATAGAATGCCTCATTTCCAGTAAAAAGCGTATCCGGTTCTCTACACGCATCATACGAAACACAGCAGCATTAAGTTGCTAATTGACGCCGATATTCTGTAAGAGCGTGGTCCTTCCCCGGTGGAGGCAACTCACTCGTGCTGCAAGCTACAGCCTGGGTCAACTACGTAGAAGAAATAAATAATAATAACTTTTTAAGCCATCTATCTGTTCTTACTACATTGCACACAAAGTTAGAGAGAGACAGACGACCATCGGCTACCCGGTCAGTGGAAAATGACTCTAAGAATGATGATATATTAATTACATATTCCTTAAAAATTTTGCAGAGAATCGAACTGTCATCTTGTGGACTTTCATAACGTGCAAGAGAATGTAGTTCCTTCTTATAACAAAATGATTAAAGTGAGTTTTAGTGTGTTGGTTTTTTTTTTTTGCTTGTGTGATTGACATAGAATCTCGTAAGTATTATTGTTGTTCCTTACTACACTGTTAGGTTTGTATAAAGTTTTTTTTTTAATTATTCATTGGCAAAGGAGGATACGACCTTACAATCTACCTGATGGTCAAGTGGCTACAGCTGCCTATGGAAACAGTTTTATGCTGATTCTTTAACCCAGGCTGCTTATTTTAAACTTTACTCTCATACAATGTCTCATACATTCACTTCTTGCATTTAACATACATAAATTGGACATATAGAGACAACCAGATCCGAAGCAATTATTTGTAGGCCATACAAATAACTGTTCCGTGAGGGGTTTGAACCCGCATTACATAGTGCTGCAGGTAAACAGCGCTACCAAACCGTAAAAATAGTAGGTAAGTGATAGATGTACTCCAAACTAATAGAAAAGGAACATTTGAAATAACACAAAATTCACAGCTCATTCAGTTGATCTGTGAATCTGTCAGTTATTATTATTTTCTCTTCTTCTTTACTTTATGGCTTCTATTAAAAGAATTCTGCCAATGTCAAGTCAGTCATGGGAGGAAGTGACAAGAAGGAAATCAAATCTTTTCTTTTATATTTTTTTTCGTGAGAGGCGTTTTTTTTTTGTCTACTTAAAACAGAATTCTGCCAATTTCATATCATTCATGGAAGTGACAATAAAATTATTTAGTACATTTAATGTTTACCAACTTTTTGATTGAGAATCCCAAATCTAAAACAAAAGAAAAAACCATAAAAGAAGATACATCACCTCCGTTAGACATAATATTTTAGATTATTAGTATGTATAAAATCACACAAAACTTTTATAAAAGGTGTAAATAATAATGATAACAGGGATACCATATTAATAAGACGAGTGATAGTTGGAGGGAGGAAATCATATAAAGAGAGTTTTGAGAATAAAGTTTTTAGTGTTGGCAACATTTTAAAATTCTTTAACGACAATATCTACACTGTACAACTGTTTGACCACAGACTATAAAGTGTTTGACATTGGCCTTAGAGTAAGTAATTATGGAATATGCTTGTAGTTACTCGGAGATATTGGCAGTATGAACTTCAACAACGTTTGTTTTATTTTATTTTATTTAATATAGGTGTGCAGAAACCTAAAATTTATACCTAATTTATGTTACAAATATAACATATATCATGTATAAATTTTAACTATGCCCAATCTCACACTCCTCTGAGTACGCAATACCTTACAAAAAGGGTACAAACTTTCCCATTCACGTATTAATATACAGATATATATATATACGTTTTAGGATAAACTTCCTGAAGTACGAGAAACCTCCCGCTCCACTGGACCACCTCCAACACTCAGAAGTGTACAAGCTGATCCACGACATGGAGCAAGCGCCGCCGAGGCGTGTTGAGCTGCTCAGGACAGCAATATCCGAGGCTGATTACAGAGAGGTAACATAAAAAAATAAAACAAGGGAGAATACTTTTCACTTTAGAAGAAAAAACTCTGTATATAAAATGAAAAGTAAATAATAGTCTAAAAAAATTTAAAAACACAATTTTATAGATAACCGAACTAAAACGTAGAAAATCATTGAGTTATATGTACTACGTACTAGAGAAGCCATTCCAAACAAAAATTGTGTCCTACTCTATGTATTCGCGCATGCGTGAAGACTTTAATTTGATATTAAATAAGATATTAATATAAAATTAATATAAGGATTTAATATAAAATATCTTAATTTAATCTAAACAAACATATTTCTAAATAAAATGTTGTAATAATTATTTTATGGAATTCACAAATCTTCAATTTACGCAAAATTTAGTTTGTATGGATTGCACTACAGTTCAGTTGAACATAGTCAATGTTCGGAATGGCTTCTCTAGTACGTACTACATATAACTCAATGTAGAAAATAATTTTCAATAGGTAAGTTTAAAATAAGAAAATAGTGATTAACATTAAAAAAAACATTTTATTGTAAAAAAAAAAGCGTGGGTTTTTAGATATTTTTATGATGACGCTAATTTTACAAATATCTTCAAAAATATTTACAACAAATGACATGAGGCACCCCACGCTTTTTTTATAATAAAATTATTTTTTTATGTTAATCACTATTTTCTTATTTTAAATTAATTATGTCATCGGTCCTTAAACGTACGAAATCTGTTTAAATAATTATTAAAAAGTTGTTTTTTTTTTTTTACAGAAATGTCGTTCTATGTCACCACATCCGGCAGAATCTCATAAGGAATCAACGTCCACCATCTCTCAACAATTTCATCCGTGAATTGGGTATATATAGTTTTAAAGTTTTCTGTAATTATTTTGATAAACTGTTAATTTCTTTATTCAACTTATTGCCTTTGTAAAAATATATTTATTTCTTCAGTTCAATTTCTATTGTTTAATTTTACTTACTTACCAGAATTAGCAACGGGTTCAATCTCCGCCGGCACCAAAAATATTGTTAAGTGTAATTTTATGTGTTAATTTACTATGTGCACTGAGAATGTGCAAATATCGTGAGGAAATCCATCTAATTAGACATAATAACTACCGACCCACCCCGGTTCCGCCTGGGTAGGATCTAATATAACGTGGGATTACTTTACATAGTAAGTACATAATATTTTAATGTTAAAAGTAGCTTTTTTCAACTCGTTCCACTAAATATATACCACCCTCGTAACCTAATGGGAATCAGTACTAATTGGAGTGACTCCGCAATGAGGGCTAATAACCTTCCACTTACCAGATGTCGCTAGTTGTGACTGAGGTAAAGTTTTCTGTTACATAATGTTTATCCGTTTCTAGAGTGTTATATTAATACACAACAGAATGCTCCATTCATTTGATATTTAATTTTTTGTACTTTATAGTTCTTTTGCATGCCTTAAGTGCAAAGCGCGTAGGTATGTTCTACCAGCGCCTAAAAATCAAGATTCCAACGTTATGTCGCATGAAATCGTATCTAACAATCATATTGAAAGCTACATATACAGAATGGGGTCCCACATATATGCAATAAATTAAACCACAAGTAATACTAGTCCATAGAAGTGTAGAAATATTAAATATTAAATTAAAACCCGTAAAATAAAAAAGTGAAATTTTCAAACAAAATAAATATTAAAATAAATTCAGTTAAAGTAAACACTCTGTTTAGACAACGTACCTTGACCCCTTGGAAGAGTGGCAACGTTGCACGCGGGTGGCATGGCGGTTGGCGGCAGGCAGCGTTATTGTTTGTCGGCACGGCCTATGGTTCGTTGGACAATGTGCGACGAAATAAAAACTTACTCACTAAACTGTTTAGGTATTTTACCGCCACTTTTTTATTTCGCGAAAATGGAACTGAACGAAATAAATATTATTGCATATTAGTAGCAAAATTTAATGAAACCCTATATTTTAAAATTTTCAAAATCGTTCTTGAATGCACAAGTTACATCGCCGCATAATGTTGTCCTGAAGCTTGCTCAAAAAATTTCGTTCAGGATCCAGAGCCAGGGCTTTTAATTTGTTAAAGGCGGCAACAATACGATTGCGCAGTTCATCTTCGGTTTCGAAAATCTTTGAGTACACTTCATTTTTAATGAAGCCACATAAAAAAAAGTCTAGAGGAGTGAGGTCAAAAATAGTAAAGTAGTTTCAATATCACAGTAAAAAATTAACGTACTTAAAACACTATTTACACACACAAAGTCAATCAACTAATGTCTATTTCACCGTAAAATAATTGTTTGACTAATTGTATTTATCTTACGATAATACGATAATTATCTTACGATAAATAATTACGATGCGCGTAGGCAGCGAAACGCACCTGTATCCTGGAACAATTGCGCGTGAACTGGAAGCTAAACTTCCAAATTCCAAAATGGCGAAAATAATAAAAGTAATAAATAGGGCGGCCACAAGGTGCAATAATCGTTTATCGATACTTTTCTTTTTACGCTTACTTACTTACTACATTTGAATACAAGTAATTTTGATTTTTGATTTCATAACAATCGACAAGTTATTGATATTTAAAAAAAAAGTTTATTTTTGTACAATTGAACTTACGAAACTACCGATTTGTGACTTCCTGGGAAACGGTTAAGTATGTATGACTTTTTAATTGGTTGTTTTTATGGGTTTTTTATCATGTTAAAATAATTTATTATCTCTAAATTTACAAGAACACATTTAAACAAAAAAAGCTTTAAAGCTTAGCTTTAATACTTAGGTCGTAGTATTTTTAGGATTATCATAACAACACGATAATTCTAAAAAAACCATACCCAAAGTGTTTAAAGCTAAACATTTTTTTTGTTTATCGTTTATTACTTACTCCCTTTGAAATAAGCTAATCGTCGATAACAGGTGTCCTACTCTATGACAAAGGCGCGCGCGCCGTTGCGCCGTCGCCTTTGAAGTACGCCGCGTGCCTCGTGCCGCTTGTTTATGCACGCCGACAAAAGACACCGCTGTCGATACGTCGCAATACCAATAGTTTGCACTGCGTGGCAACGTCGCTTTTTAATATTCAAGGATTCAAGTTCATTGAATCATTGACTTAGTGACCCAATTCTATAGAGGGTTCAAATATGCTTAAAATTAAAACTCTACTTTTTGACCTAATTACTGGGCCGATTATGTTCATTTTTTGTACATCGTCAGCAAAGGCGATAACAAGTATGTGGTTTCATTTATTGCATATATGTGGGACCCCATTCTGTATATATTTTTTTTATATACTATTTCTTACTACTACTTTTCTGCAGTACCCGTCTTTCTGGCATTATATCGCTGTTTAATTATTGCTGTTTTTTTCCGTACTGCTTCCGTTCTACTTCTTACTCTTACATTACATTACTTTACTTATTTTACCTTCTATTTATATAATCCTTACTTAAATTTCTTGTATGCATATAATCAGTTACAATAATATTGATTTTTTTTCTAACTATATTAATAATCTTTATGTTTTACATTATTTAGGATGCATTACATTTAGATTAGTTCTTAGATTTTTAGATCCTTACTTATTCTAGAATATCCTTAAGTATCATTTTCTCTTTTTGTTTTTTTTTTTATTACTATTTTTTGTTTTTTATTTTGGTTTCTTCCTTTTCTTTTTTGCTTATTATTATTCTCGTTTTATTTATTTTTTTATTTTTTTTCCGTATTGTTTTTAATATGCTCTTTGTTTGTACATATTACATTACACTTACTAACAAAACCCATTTTTTTTGTTTTATACTTTACATTACTTAAGGTTTCTTATTCTAACATTTCTACTCTCTTCAAACTTATTATTTGTATTTACATATTGTTGCTTAAAGTACGTGTTAATAAATGCTTAGTGTTTCTTTTTTTTTCCAATTATTACATGTATTGTTGCTTACTCTGCCATTGTACTTCCATTTTCCTTACTTATTATTCTTAATGCTTCAAGAGCAAATATCATAAAAATTGGTCGGCAAGTGCTATCCTCGATTATTATCCTTAGATTATCTTTTGCGATAGTCATTCCCGTGCTGCACTCAGCTTCAAACCTTTTACCGAATCGCGGGCAGTCAATTATAATGTGCTCTACAGTTTGGTTTACGTTTTCATCGCAAGTGCAGCATGGGGATGACGTCAATTTATATTTATATAAGTAAGCATTGTTACCTCCATGACCAGTAAACAGATGTGTAATTAAATTAGTCATCTTTATATTTTTTATTACCTTATACGCTATTACAACATTAGGAAAAAACGTATTGGTTGTTGTGCTGGTTGTCGATTCTTCATATTTTCTTTGCCAAATTTGTAAAAAAAAATTGGCAAAAAAAGCTACATATATTAGCAGTATAGTTGTAGCACGAATGGGTCGGCTCTACCGGGGAAGGACCACGTTCTCACAGAATACCAGCGTAAAATAGCAGCTTAACACTGCTGTGTTTCGTATGTTGAATGTAGAGAACCGGAGAACCTTTTTACTGGAAAAGAGGCCTTCCATCTTAGTCCTCACGGGTGTCAATGCATCTGCATTTTGATTCGCAAACGAGGATAGATGTAGATGTCTATGGGCCACATCAACCACTTACTATCAGGTGAACTGTGTGCTCGTTTGTCACCCTATCCTATAAAAAAAAATATGTAAATGATATAAAAAGCACATTGTCAGAAAGATAAATGATTGTTGAACTTATAATTTTTTTCAAATTGATCAATTGCTATTTTTATATAAAAAAGCGGTTTTAGTGGCATATGGTGCAGATTTATCAAGTCCGCATGAAGACGTAAACACGATAATTTTTGAAAATATCAATTGTTCTACTCAATATAGTTTTGAAACTCTTCATCTATCATGTGGGAAGCCATGGAATGTAAATGGCAGTTTAATTTTGTTTTGTTTAGTTATAATTATTTTTTTTCGGCTGAGAAATAACGAAATTTTTGTTCTTTTGAACAGCCTTGTATTAATTTATTTTACTAAATACACTTTACCTCACTCCCGGCCGTCCCGGCACCAGAGTAGAGAGTACTTTCATACCCCGGGTTTAGCCGCCGCCGTGAGTAGTCGTTTATTTACAGCGGTTTGTGATGCAAAATATCGATCACTTTAGAAATACAAAATATGCTTAAAACCAAATTTGATATATGCTTGGCCAGGGTAAGACATTATTATTATTTTTATAATCACAGATTTTTATTACAATATTTTGTTTCGCTAAAAGTACGCAGAATTTATATATAAATATACTTATATAAATGTACTTATACGTCTTAGACTTTATGGAGACCTGGAGGTGTACATCGATATCTGCTACTGTAGCTGCTCAATGAGTTGAACTAGGTGTGCCGAGATTGTGCTCGTTATGTTAGTTACGATGAGACCTTACCCCAACTTGAAGGTGTACTTCGGTGAATGCTACTGGAACTCCTCGAAGAGTAGTAAAAGTAATAGGTGTACTCATTTTGGGCTCGTTTTGTTAGTTATGATGAGTATTATTTATTTTACTTTTAGTTATATTTATAGTTTGGTTTATTTATTTTTTATCTAATTAATATAAAATATAAGTAATAATTCAGAAAGAAACATTAACCTTTACATTTTTCTAAGAAATTATCTTCCCCACTATGAAATCAGTCAAACGATTTACCTCATTGTTCGATTGTACGCGCCGCCCTAGTGGCAGAAAAACTTTCACTAGTGACCCGACCCGGCTTCGCCTGGGTAGATTCTAATAATGAGGCATTATTTAGATTCATGATATTCATTAAAGACAATTTTTTATCAACCTTTCAATTGTTTAAAAAAACTCTTATATAAAAAAAACTCTTATATAATATTTAATCGTGACTGTTCGCGCCCAAATGCTGGTTTCGGGATTTGACGCCAGAGGGCGCTC